AGAAGTAGACTATATAGAGCTAGTAGGAGAATACTTATTTTAACTACTTATTAAAGTAGATAGAAGTATAGTTAATAGCCTAAAGCTAGTAATCTTAAATAGAGATAATTAAGTAGTTTTAATACTTATTAAAAATACCTATATCTATAATAGATTAAAGTATATTAATATAGCCTATAACTTTATAAAAAGACTCTAGTAGTAAAAAAAGATTATAGTAGAATATATTCTAATAAAAGAGATAGTTACTAATAGTCTTATAAAACTAAAGAATAGGCTTTAATTCTAAGAGTTTATAAAGTAACTTTAAATAGCCTAGGGATAAAAAGGGGCTATATAATCTTACTTTTAGTTTTTAGTAAAAGTAAAATTATATAGAATACTAAGCCTAGGAGTTATACTATAGCTATTACTACTATACTATAGTAGTAGAATAAGTTCTAATACCTAGTTAGATAGATAGAAAGTAGGATCCGAGCTTAATATAAGTATCCTCGTTAGGAATAGGGAAAATATATATACTAGCTTAAGTAGGAGTATTAAATAGTATAGTCTAGATAAGTAGACTAAAATAGATACCTAAAGTATTAATACTAAAAGTTATATAACTAAAAAGAGCTTACCTCTTTTTAGTTCTCCTACTTCCTAAAACTAACTAATATAATTATAACTAGGTTAGTTCCTACTATTATTTATTAATTTAGTTACTTCTACTATATTTAATACTTATATAAACCCTATAGAGTAGTTTTAGCTTAGTAAATACTATTATAATAAGTATAATACTATTCCTATATATAAAAGAGATTTATCTACTTAGTATATATTAAAATATATATTATATAAGTATTAAGTAAAACTTACTTAAATATTTACTTTTTAAATAAATTAAGTAAAGTTATTTATTTATTATCTAATCTAGTATATTATATAACTATATTATAGTTTTATAAACTATAATACTTTAGTACTAAATTTTATATTAAACTTTATATAAAAATAATAATAGAAATATTATTATTTTATTATATTATTAATAGGCTATAAAGAAAAAAGTAGATATATACTAATTTTACTATAATATAAAAAGATATATATTATATAGTCTAGCTTTACTCTATTTTTAAAGTATATTCTTAGAGAAAAAGTTACTTTTTTAGAAAACGTTTTATCTAAATAGGAAGTTACTTTCGGCGAAAATAGGACTACCTCTAGGTTAGGAATATACGACGAGATTCGTATATATCGCTATATATACAAACGTCGAATATAGAGAAGCGGCGGTACACGTGCTATTAGAGAATATACTAAGAGACAGAGGGGAAAGTACACAATTTATTTAGCTACACGAGACTATAGAGATTCGTACGAGGTATAGACCGTCACCCGACCGTTTCTCTCTTCTAAGCCTTGAAGACTGCGACCGACCGTCTCTCTCTCCTCCAAGCGTCCAGACCGCGACTGACCGTCTCTCCTCCAAGCTTCGCCCTCGGACATCATCCGTTATACCAGGCCAGCTCTTAATCCAGTGCATCGGCGAGGAGCATTATGGCGAAGCAAAATCCGGACTGCCTGTCCTCAAATCCTCCCAATACGCCGCCATAGCATCCTCCTGTGCCTTGCGGTACCTCTCTCGCTCAGGTGAAGGCGTGCGACCGCGGGGATACGCCTCTGCAACCTCGCGACCATACTTGTGCACTCGCCGGGTTTGCCTGAACCTGACGAGACATTCCTTGATCTGAAGGCGTTGGGTCACCTTGTCGCCGAAGTCTGAATCCACAAACTCTCCCAGCTGAAGGATAGCACTGGGAGTGGGCGGAGTTCGTGGCGCTGAGATGGTGGTGGAATCACCAGAGCCTGTGTCGTGCAACGCAGGGCTTGATGTATCACGGTCTGCCTCTTTTGAATTGTGCTGCGGCGAGCAGGGTGTTGGATCAGGCGGTCGCTGGGTTTCGAGGTTTGGTGTCGCAGGTGGTGGGGAGGACGAGGAGGGAGTGCGCCATCGGTCGGAAGAGTGTCCAGCATCTGATTCAGACGTATGATGTGCCTGAAGGTCATGGCGACTGCGCCGTCTTCCTCGCGGGTGGTTGTGAAGGGTATGAGGAGCATGCTCGAGCGTGGGGTGGAGAGCGCGGCGGGAGGTGGCTGGAGAGGGTGACTGGCGGTGCGGCGGCGGGTATTGCACGGAGGATGGCGGTTCGGACGCAGGTCGTACGCTGGAGTCGTTGCGATGGGCGGCAGAGGCATGCGACCGGCGATGGAGATGGAGATGCTCGACAGAGGCAGCGCGGCGATGGGGAGCGATGCGCGGCCGTTTGGCGTCGCGCAACTCGCTGGGCGGCGGTGGCGGGGAGAGCGAGCGGCGGCGCTTTCGCGGGTGGAGAGCGGTGTCGTCCATGGGGTGGGTTGGCGCTGGCAATGTTCGATGCGATGGTGGTGTGGTGTGGTATGGGAGAGCGCGAATGTGAGAGACGGAGGTGCTGGGTGCGGGGAGCGGCAAAGATTCCGCGGCTTCTCCAACTTCACCATCACATCCTCCGCTCCCACCACCCGCTCCGCTCCGCGCATCCTCCACCACCCGACCTCTCCCATGCTCGCGGATGGGCGAGACTGCACACCATGGCGGCGCCGGCTTCCCCACCTCCCCCGGCGCCTTCTCTCCCGGACCTGATCCCTAACAATCTCGCCGAATCATTCTCCACCCACGGCATCTTCGCAACACTCCGCCCATACAGTCCACTCGCCATCGCCAATTTCAGCAGCGTCGTCGATGCCATTGTCGCCCAGCCCGCCAAGTACGCAGCGGTCCGGCAGCGCATTCGCCTCGACGCCCACCATCTTCTCCCCATCGCCGACACCTCTTCCTTTGCCGGCGCCGAAGAATCAGCTTCCTCGGATGCCACAGTTCCTAACACTCCGGAGCCCACTCAGCTCGCCTGGCAAGGCGCCTTCGTTTTCTCTTATCAAGACCCGCCGGTGCATCCCCAACTGGGCTGGATCATCGGCTACGGACCCAAGTTCCCTCAGTACGAAGGCAAACCGAAACCTGACGTACCGCTGACGGTCGGCCCCCATTTCCAGGAGCTTCGGCTGCACAACACTACAGCCAGGCTCAACATTGACAAGAAGAGCGCCGTCTGCACCATCACCCCTGGCCACAATGATGGGACACTGAGGCGCGGCGGTATGAAGGTGCCATTTGGGTAAGCAGGCAGTCATCCTTTCATACGCACCTGCAACATTACTCATACGACGATAGCACAGGCTTTCTGGACAGACCGCAAGAGATCATATCGTTCGGCGAGCTCGACTATCGTTTCGAGTATGTGCCAGCCGACCTCTCACTCCACTCGGCCGCTGTGAAAGCATACATCTGCGATGCCTTGGGCGCGGCCGATTCTGTGAACGACCTGATAGCCCAGACCCCATCACCCAACGACCGCTATATTGGAGACTGGCGACTGGTGCAACCTGCGGGCATGGGCACCGATGGAGAAGTCGTGGCAGCAATGCGATCTAAGGGTGACATCGTGGCCATCAAAGATTACTGGTGCAAAGAGCAAAAAGACGCTTGGAATGCCCTTTCCAAAATCGACAACTACCGCAGCCTCCAGGCCAGGGTGAAGTCTTCGTATGTGCAAAGCCTGGTGGATGTTCTCGACGAGGAAAAGATTCGGTCGGCCTTCCACCCACCTCAGCATGTCTATGTCTGTCTTCAACCGTTGGTCCTGTATGATCTGGACAAGCTGTTCAAAACATGGGATAATGAGCCTTCCAACAAACCCGCCGAGCCCATACTGCACCAAGTTCTGGCACAGATCCTCCTTGGCATTAAGGACCTCCACACTGCCGGCTTCATCCACGATGATATCAAGCCAAGCAACATCGGTATTCTGCGGGTGTTGCCTCCACATGTTGTGATCCTCGACCTCGACAATGCGAAGGACTTCTCATGGATCGGTGCTCTTCCTAGTGCTTGCCTACTCACCACGCACGGCAACGGCGGCACGATTGGATACTTGGCTCCCGAGAGAGAAGGGCCACAGGACGAGTTGTTCGGCACGGGCGTCGATGTCTGGAGCGCCGGCTGTGTCGCCATGGAAATCTTCCTGCGCAAGCCTCTGCAGGATTTGAAACGCTTCAACATCAACCCTTACCGGGATCTGGCAACATTCAAGCATCATCGCCCTACCTCTGGGCAGTTGCAGACAGAGCGAACCAGACAGGAGGCCTTCGTTTCAGGACTGAGCTCATCTCCTGGCACCATCGAGAACCTCATTGGACAGATGCTTGCCGTCGATCCCAACAATCGAGTCACCGTTGACGCCGCATTGAAGCATCCTCTCGTCGCCGCAGGCGTGTTGGCTACGCAGGAGGAAGAGACTCGTGCGAAAGCCCAGCCAGGTGACAAGCGAGCTCGAGAGGAGAAGGACCCTTGACGGCATCTAGTGCCGTGATGCTAGGGATTCTTGGCGGATGGGCAATGGTAGGGAACAGGACGAACCACTGATGGAACGATGGTGTGGATGAATGCTGAAACGATGGACTATGAATAGGGTTAGAACCCTAATGATGTGACGTTGGAACGACGGAATGATGAAACGATGAAATGATGGAACGACGTGCAGACCAGATAATCTCAATAACGCATGCTCGCTGAACTCCCTCCATCGTTGCTCACTGCTTCTTCCAGTCTCAACCATGCAGTTCTCAGGCAGGATATCGTGGACGTACGTACAAACCCCTCGACGAAGCTCACAGTGAAAGGCGCTGCGAGAAGCCGACCTTCGCCTTCGAATTCTGTGCATGGAGGAACTGAGAAACGAGGGAGAAGGGAAAGAGGCATGATATTTCACGCTCTGCCATGCCCACAAGATTCCGTGATGTTATCCCATTCACGGCAAAGCAATCTCATCTTCTCCTCGATAAGCACGTACTCGTTCCAGTCTTAATCGAGATCGTCCAGCACTCGATGTTCAAGTAGGAAGAGAGGAAGCGTTTTCAGATCAGCTATTCAATCATGCTGGGGTTGCATTCCATTCTTGGGATTCTGTAGATCTGCCATGCGTGCGAAGAGAGAGAGCACGATTAAGCCTTCGGATTGGTCTGCCTTTTGCTCGACAACGATAAGCTGGAGCTGTGCTTCCCTTCTGATGATCTCCCCAAGCCCGTCGATGGGTAGCATTTGGCGTGGGATCGTTCTGCTCTCTGTCAGGATTGATGATACCTCGTACGGCAAGATAGTGGCCGAGATGCTCGTCGATTTTCAAGAAGACGTCCTCCAAGGCCAGCCGTTCGGTAATGGCAGGGGCTGGAGTAGGGCGTTCGACGAAAACCTCTCCCACAATTGATCGGGGCTGAAGCATCATCGTATCAACTCCTGTTTAGAGCGTTGGAGGACAATCGCAATGCAGATATATCGTTCCCATACCCGCCAACCATCAGATACACACTGGCTACACAACATCCTCAAGAAATCCCAAGATCCCCCAAGATGCCGGCCCTCGCAGACGCCCACAGCCTCCATCCAAGCAGATCTCTCCCAAAACCTGCATTCCCACCCTCTTCCGCCTTTCGATTCCAAGCTGTCGCCCACAAGATCTCCCCACAAGGCGTACCCAAATCCATAATCTCTCTCGTAACGTCGAAGCCTCCTTTACCACTCCACCGCACTCCAGAATCGCTAAGATCCGCCGTGTGACTGCCACACCAGGCCTCCTCCTCCTCCTACTCAATCTCATTAGCATCAGCATCAGCATCCTCGTCAACATCCTGCCCTCTGGAGAGCAGAACGTCCACGCAACCTTCGCCGCGTGACTCCCACCCCAGGCCTCCTTGTCATCATGATCATCCTCAGAACTCCCAACCTCCGTCGTGTGACTTCCACACCACCTCACTATCAACAACATCAACATCCTATACTCTCGAGAGCAGAACACCCGCCCAACCTCCGCCGTGTGACTTTCACCACAGGCCATCCCATCATCATCACCATCCTATACTCTTGAGAGCAGAAACCCCACGCACCCTCCGCTGTCTAACTTCCTCGCCAGATCACCTCACCACCATTGACATCAACATCCCATACTCTCAGGAGCAGAACCCCCACGCAACCTCCGCCGTCTGACTCCAACCCTCGGCTACGCCATCGTCATCAACATCGCAAACTCCAGAAGAGCAGACCACCTACCCAACTTCCCACCCAACCTCCACCGTGTGGTCGACCTTCAGCCCAAACCTCCTCAACGTGAACATCAACATCAACATCCTGGACTCTGGACTTTGAAGAGAAGAACACCCACGCAACCTCCCAACCACCCAACCTCCACCGTGCGGCATCCCTACCGCCGACTGCATGGCGAGTCCAGATCCAGGACCCAAGTCTTCAATGCGTACGCAAGATCATTGGCCAGATCGAGTGTCTGTTTCGAGGTTGTGGGTGCCTTTCTTCATCAGTGGAGGGAGTGTGTGTGTGCACGATCGGAAATCGAAACTTCTGAAGGGGAGACATTGTTGTGTCTATGGAGGGAGAGGGGTTGCGAGAGGTGGGGATAAGTTCAGGAGCTGGGTGGCGCTGGACAGGATGCGAAGGGTTGAAAGGATTATGTTGCGTACTACCTTGCGAAGGTCCATTGGGTGCCTGCATTCGTATGGGCTGCGATTCCGTTGAAAGACTTCGAGGATCGCTGACGGGAGAAGTCTACGGCATTGTCTCATACACATGCTCGAGTCGTCATCTGTGGAGATCAAGCACCAACATGCAGGCCTACCAATGTTGTCATCTTCGTGGCTTGGAAGGACAAGAAGTCTGTTGTGACGGGCGTTGGCATCGGATGTTTGAGGAAAGGAATCAAATTCGCACTTGGGGAGCATCGTGCATTGAGGTCTGTACATACTGTCCATCCATGTCCAGTGGGTACTCGAGGTTCGAGGGAGATGTCGATGAGATGAGATGTGATACGATCTCTTTGAGGATACACGACGAAACCCATGAGACGAAGAACAGCCATGCTGACGAGATGCGATCCACTTCTCATTCGTGATCATGTCTTCGATTCGGCTCGCCGCCGTTGGTTCATCGTGAAGATTGAGAATGCACATCCGATCACCTCGTGCCCGATGAAAGCCAGCACCGCGATCCACTCCCAAAGACCAACGATTCGGTGCCGTTGACCATCCCTTTTGTATAGCAGCCGGCCAGGCCGAAGAGCTTTCTTGCAGTTGGAAGGCCGATATCCCAACAAGCTTGGATGCTTTTCATCACCTCAATGCAGAACGACCAGGAGATGAACGCAATGGATAGACTCGAGGGCAACGAAGTCGAGGAGGGATGTTGGATTGTGAAGACTCGACGGTATGAAGGGACGTTCAATACCAGCCAGCTTGAAAAGGAGGCAGTGATGTCTTTCCATGATGCGAACTCCAGGGTGGACCTCGAGGGATGTAGGATGGGGTCTGCTCTGTGAACACGGGGAGGTCGATGGTCTTGCGCGGGTTGAGTCTTCGAACTCGACATAGCGCGGTTCGAATCGAGTGTGAATGTTTGGAGGAGATCGATATGGAGTGGAGTGCTGATTGTCTGAATGTGAGGCTTGCACTGTCGAACTCCAAGCCCTCGAGGTCGACGGCAGTCTGGTGTTTCGGGGTATGTCTCTTTGGCTCCATCTCGAACACCTTCAGTTCTTCTTGATGCCGCCACTTGATCCTGACCTCTCATCGTGTGATTGTATCATCATTTCCCACTCTCCTCCCACCATCTCCAGCCACGAAGCCCATCTTGTGTCTGAAGGAAGCCAAATCCCATGATCTCTCGGCACAATCCACCACCCACGCCATGCTCAATCCAACACAATGACCTCCTTCCCGCCCTTCCACTCTTGATTGCTGCACATGCACTGTCAGCAGCCGTATGCATCTCCACCTGCATGACACGCACATACCAATTGATGCAGGTCGGCTTGTTGTTGTCTGCGATCCTCCTCGCAATCCATCGATCTTGACACACTTGGTGCACGACGAACCCGCATTCCATGCATACCAGTTCCCGTGCGGTTGTAGTTCCCAGCATCTCGAAACACACTGTGCATTCCTTGAGCTCCTCACGACGCCTCCCCGATGGCTTCGAGAGATCGGTATGCGTTCGTTGTGCTTGCTGCGGCTGACTCTTACTCGAGGGAGGCGGAGCGGGGCGGCGGTGGTGTTTGACGAAGGAAGACAACACAACCTCAGCGTCGATGGTGTCGGGGGATGCGTCTCGCTCGGTTGGTGCTGGCGGTGGCTTGGTAGAGTCGATGTGACGGCCACTGCGGGTGACGACCATGGCGGAGGCTGTTATGGAGATCTCGAGGGATTGGCGGGTGGTGTGGGCGAAGGGAAGTCAGGTCGGTGGGTGGATGGAGGTGGAGGTGCGGCGGGCCCGTGTGCGGGCCGAATGAAGACGGCGTTTGCATGTCTGAGGGAGGCGCCCGTCTCCATCGGCTCATCGCGGCTCGATCCGTGCGGAACATCTCCTGACGCAGGCTGCCATCGCAGGGGATGGAGCAGGTCGGAATTGATGGCGGCGATGCGGTTGTGTATGTGTGAAGGTTGAAGGTGGGTGAGGAAGGTGAAAGATGTGCTTTCGGACCCGATTCGGAGCAGGGTCTGGCGGCCCGCAAGGATCTCCACGTGGGAATCTATTTCGAGAGGACCCCTGCTCCACTTCCTCACACTCCCCACTTCACCTCTTCCTTCACCACTCCCGCCGCTCTTCGCTCCTCCCCGTACGCCGATGCTCTCTATCGTGTGTCATGCATCTCGACTGCCACCAACCTGCACAGGCCAGACTTTTCAATCTCGAACCCAGCAACATGAAGAATGAACCCGCCAGCGACAGCGAAAGCCTCATGGAGCCCAGAGTCAATCATGATACCCATGCCCGCACACGTCACGCATTGGTAACTGCCTCGTACCAACACCATTCAACTCCAAGACCGACTTGTCGTAAAGGGGCCCAATCGACTCCTGCAAAGAACTCACGACAGAGCGAAGTTTTCGTGGAGGCTCCGGCAAAGGTGTCATGAAGCGCCGAATACATCATGATACTCGTACCTGGCATGGTCAAGCTGAGCATTCAATCCCAGACCTCGACCTGAACCTCCGTCTCTCCCAGAGAAACACTTCGACCGGAAAACACCGCTTTGCTATGGGCGACTCGTACCGCCCACAGCACCCACGCGACCACGGCAGTGGCAGCAACAACGACAACAATGGCTACACCTTCCGTGGCGCCGCCGACACTTACCGCTTACCGTAACACCGCCTTCGCCCCTCGTTTCCCTACTCAGCAGCCACCACCACGTGCTCAGCAACCCAACCAATTCGGCGCGAATGAGAATCGCAGCCGCAGCAGAGGCGGACGCCAGCACGGCGGTGCACCATACCACCGCATACCAAAGCCGGTCCACACACGCGGACTCTCAAGTCGCAGAGACCGGCCGGCAGCTCGACATCTTCTATTGATGGCGCGATTGTGTACAATGGAGAGGATCTTGTTGGGCTTTGCAAGTACGATTGATGCGGGCGGATGTGCTGGAGGTTGTGGGCAATGAGGGAGGGAGAGATGGTTTTGCGAGGGAGATGTGTGAGGTGCTGTGGATGGTAATGGGGAGGATGGAGGATGGGAGTATGTGGATCGGGTATTTGACGATGAACGCCCTTACGAGGAAGGTTCCATGTGAGGGAGAAGGGGCTTTGGGTAGGTGTATGGGTTCTGTTCATGGTGGTGTCTACATGTATTCATGGACACTCGTGAATATCTTTCCAACCCTTTCGAGCTCTCCACCTATTCCAATACCTTGGTGCAGACATGGATATCTCTCCAGCCGGATTTATCTCTATAGAACTTTCTATCTTATCCAAGATATAATAGACAGAGGCTAGATGTTAGTATAGTTTCGTCTTCCTATATACAAGCCGAGAGGGAGGATTGTTTTAGGTTCGAAGCTCAGTGCAGCAGGCGAAGGCTGAAAACAGGTGCAAGCCTAACGTCCTGCACAGGCGAATGTCGCTTCGTGTTCGAAGTAAATGAACATCCAGGAACAGAGCGCTGTGGTACTGGAGGTTCTGGGATCCTGGACATCCGTCTTCGAATCGCATTCGGACCTGATGGAAAACTTCGCAACGTTTGAACAGAACTTCGTCCGTCACGGTCATCGACATTCGTCGAAAGCGCCTCAAGCCTCCTGATACTTCATCTAACAGGTTTCATGTAGCCCTTGATGCTACTACAGCATGAGGACCTCAGAATCGGCAGACCATCTAGCTGTCATGATGGGTATGGGTACCAGTTCTCCTTCGATGATCCCCGGACATCGGCTGATAGCAGTCCACTGCTTTCCTCGAATCTCAATGGCCAAGAGTATCACACGAGTACTGTATTTCCAAGATGACCGGCAGGCGGGAGTAGAGACTCATGCCAACCTCCAAGGACAGCCTAATGCGAATAGCCATGGCAGAGATCTCGAGATGCCGGTCGAATGTCCTAATTGAAGGTGTCAAAACCTGTTTCAGCTGGAGCAGGCGTTCACAGTATCCCAAACGCTTGGGTGAGGAGCGCAGATCGAGAGCCCGCCCTTGACACTCCGCTCAGAGACACTGCTGTCGAACGCTCTCAGGCCAAGCCCACCCCTGGAAGATCAGGTGTGACCTTCAACAACGTAGGGACTTGTCTGAACACCTCCCAACCGTCGAACGACTCCCCGAGGTTGAGCCCAGGCCATGAGGAAAGGGGGACCAACTTCAACGCATCCGCGGCTCAGAACAAAACGGCGGATTCGACCTCAAATCCATCTTTAGTCTTCCATTCTGGCATTCACGGTGGATATCGAAGCGCTGGCCGCTGTGCTCTTGCCGTTACCAGAAAGCATCGAAAGAAAGAGGCACGCCCTTGTCATTCTGATCCAGTTCGCTTCTCAATCTCCGTCCGACGACATGGACGCCGAGCCCGTCCATGAGATACGCACGTGTGGCATCAAAAGTTGCTCGAGCCGCCTGCCTGTCAGATGTGCGTTCCCGTAGGTCCAGTATCTCCTGCCGAAAGCTTCAAAGTGGTCGACGCCGCTCCGACTGACCTCACAACACTCTCGGCTTCACGGCGAACGAATCTTCGAGCTCCAAGAACGAGCTCCTCACGCTGCATGGATGTCGAATGGACGTCGAAGTTGTTCCAGCCCGATCCATGACCTGATTGATCTACGGCACCCGTGCGAAGAGACTCTGGAAAGCTCAGCCGCCTGGTGGAAGCTGCAGCATCATTCCCAGACAAATGGTAAGTCTCGCGAGCACGGGCTCGTTTGTGTTTCATTCGATTTCTGTCGAGATGTCAAATGCACGAACTCTCTTCATGAGGTCGTCGGCGGGTGTGGAGATCACAATGCTCCATAGAAGGACTCACTGGACAAGGGTGGTTTCGTCTTGAGCATCTTCCTCAACGAACGACCAGCGCTGGATGTTGAGTCTTGCGTTGCTCCAGAAGTCACCAACCGAAAGACTGCTGTTTCCTTGGCTCTCGATTCCCTGGAGTATGGGCATGGTGCTGTATCACCCAGCAACCGTGCCCTCCCTCTTCAGTATCACTCGACAGACGAGATACTTCCTCGTTTTTCGGCTATTCATCTGTATTTTCACGAGGCGCAGAATCGCATCGAAGACAGCGTCGGCAAGCTCAGCCAAGGCTTCTCTTTGGAAGACATGGCTTTCTGAACGCAGGCATTGGTCATCCTCAACTTCTCCTAGGCTTCAGGGGTCGTGATCGTTTTCGCACCCATGGGGGTGAAATGATATCAGCAACCGGAAGCCGCCTTGATGTCAAGCAACTCGTCCCTTGCTTCAGCACTGATCCAGCGCCATAGCTTTTCTCAACGAACCGAGATGAATTCCTGCCTCTGCGAAGCTGCTCAGACTCCTATTTGCGACTCTTTCTTCGCAAAGAAGAATGCTCTCTGGACCATCTTGCATGCCCAAACTTCAAAGTATGCCAAAAGAACGGATCCCTCAACGAAGAAGCCGTCAGATATCGAGTCGCCGAGACTCGAGCCAGCCCCTGATGATACGATCAGAAGCATTCGGCGTGCTATCCTACACGCCTACATGAAAATACAAGCCTTTTGCGATGGGGATACGGCTTGAACCAGCAACGACGAGCGAGCGACTAAACTCTTGCAAGGGAGAGTCCTGTCCGTGGAGTGTTGGCTTGGGAAATCTCGAGCGAGAACTGAGGTAGCATCAGCCTGGAAAGTTTGAGGATGCAAAACGAAATACACCGAGGCCACATACCTTCATGTCACCAACATCGACAAGCCGGTGAGGCAAGTGTGATGCTGCGAGGGAGACTAATGCCGTCGTTCGTTCCCCATCTTGCGAGGTATGCATTCTTGCCGCAAAAAGCAACGCAGAAACGAAACTCCAGAACGAGAAGAAGAGTCAGGAGGCGGCGCTCACCACGCCGACATTTTCAGCCAGCAATGAAGCTAAGCATCAAAGAGGACAAGTCGACTGCCTCCTCCAGCGTATACGGACGGAGGCTTCACGAGCAAAGCAAACCGGCTGGAAGAGGAAGCTTGCCGCATTGCCAGCAAGCGACTCGGACAAGCCTCTGAAATGTAGTCCCTTGGAAATTCGAGAGAGACTTTCGGAAGTATCGATCTCGTACGCCGAGTACTTGTCTTCTGGCGAACATCAGCATAGCTCGAATGAACGAGGATCTGGTTATATTACAGCGTCGACATGTTTTTTCGCAGCTCGATAACATCGAGCGAACATTCGAGAAGCTTTCGAGACCCTCTTCCCCGTTCGACTGGCCAGGGGCATTGCTGCTGGGGTGTACTGCGATGGAAAAGACATGAATGTCTGACACTCAGGGCGCGATACGAGTTCTGTCGCCCACGACCCTGACGGGGTGAGCTGAGGCACAATGGTCCCAAGCCATGAGCACTGACGGTCGCTCGATGGTTGGGCTGGAACATCCTGAGCGTCGTCATGAGGCTTTGGACACAAGCTGAGCTTTTCTGCATCAAGGTTTGATATGTTCATGAACATATCGTTTGGTGTCTGGGTCAACAGCGGTACATATGCTTTTCCTCAGAACACAGCCTCATGTCTCTCGCCGCTGAGATGTCATCTGCATTCCGAGGAAGTTCATATCCACACGATGCTGCAGAACCCGCTTTTGAAATTCATCGACCTTGCGACCTCGCTCAATCCTGAGTACCTATTGTGCCTCACACTCCGCCAAGCCTCGTTTCCCCAAGTATCGCAGTTCTTCTCGAACGTCGAGCTGGACTCCGCCGCCTATGGCTGCCTCCATTCAGCGCTCGCATTGCGAGAACTTTCTCCCAGATTGTCGAGTTCGTCCAGGAGATGATACATTTGGACTCAACAGCCTCTCCAGCCTTCTTCTCGCAACCGCTCTTGTCTTTCTCCCGGGTGGTGCTGGAATGTACGGAGCATTGACGCAGATATCCATGTGATATTGCCGCAGCTGATGGCCAGGCTCGATCGAGCAGTCCAACCCAGAGGGCCTGTCGTCTTCAAAGGTCTGTCTGGTGTTCTCGTGGGACACAGATCGTGAAGCTCCTCTGACGAGGTTCTTGGCCTTCCTCTCGTAGCCCGTTTTGGCTTCTCTGAAGAAGTTGTGAGCTTTTGTTTGAGCCAGCGAACCCATGCTGACCTCGTTAGATTGGAAGATAATTGAGATTTCCTTTCCCCAGGCTGCGCAACCTCCCTCTCGCAACCGCTCCTGTCTTTCCCAAGGAGGTTGTACGCCTCTGTTTTAGCTGCCAAGCCGGCGAATCTAAGTTGTCCTCGTCTGGGTTGATTCAGAAGATGAATGGAGGCTCTTTTCGACGAATTCCTCGACTTTCCTCCCTCAGCCGCTCTTGTCCTTCTTGAATACGTCACACTCCCTTACTCGAGACGGCAAATCCGAGTTGATCTCGTTATGGGAGGCTTCGTAGTCAGGTGGCCGTTCCATGCAACGAACCGTCTATGTCTCTTGCCGTACCCGCTCTTGTCCTTCTAAATGAGGTCGTACGTCTCTACTTGAGCCGGAGGAGCGATGGGAATGTCCTCCAATGGTGGTTGGAAGCTGGGCAGAATCTCCTTTCGACAAATCGCCGGTCTCTCTTTCTGTTGCTACTCTCCTTCCTCTTCCCGCGGCCGTTCCTGTCTTTCTTGGAGAGGTCGTATGTCCCATGAACTTCATACCAAAGGGTTGGAGGGCGAGTGGAATCTTTTCGGTACTCGTTGCAGTTCTCGTTCCTTGCTTTGGCTGGAATTAGGAATGATCAATTGAGTAGCGCCGAATGGGTACTTGCAAAATCTGTACGACCTTGTTCTCGCAACCGCTCCTATCTTTCTTGGCAAGGCTGCGCAGGGTAGCAAGTCCACGTCGGCTTCGCCCAGCGCCTTAAATTGATTCTTCCCAAAAGTATTCGCAGATTACCGACCTGGGTTCTGTTGCTTTGAATGCCCAGGAAGGCGGCGCCGGATGGGTACTTGGACTGTCTGCTTGACCTTGTTCTCGTAACCGCCCTTGTCCTCCCTGTGCATGTTGCGTATGCTAACGAATTTTAGCTCAGCTTTTCGACAAGCACTTGAACGCCAAAGAGAATCACATTGACGGTGATTGCCAGCCTGCATTCCCGTTCAAAGCCAGAACGAACGGGCTGGGATTGCTTTCTTCCAAGCTGCCTGACCTTCTTCTCACAGCCGCTCTCGTATCTCATGAGGAGGACGTATCTGCCGGCGAATCAATGCTGGACTGGTCGATGAGCGTTTTGAATGCCAAGGGCAATCCCGTCGATGATGATTGCCAGTCTGCATTCCCATTCAGGATCAGAAAACACAGACTGGCAGCGCTTTTCGCCAGGCTATCTAACGTCTCATAACCGCTCTCGTCTTTCTCGAAGAGGTTGTTTGCCTCTTCTCAGTCTTCAGCTGGAAAGTTCGTGTTGACTTCGAACCGAAGTTGTATCGCCTGGAAACATGTGGAGCTTCCTCGATATCTCCCTCGCTCACTACACGGCAGGCAGTCCAGGAAAAGCCGATCCTCCGATGGGCAGTCTTATTCCGTGGAGGAGATTTTATGCTTCGGCTCTGGTTTAGACGGCGTTCCGATGCGCAGTCTCCTTACCGGGAAGAGGTTGCATGCTTCTGCTCCAGGCTGAGATGGCGCTCGACGGCGAGTCCTCTCCTCTTGAAGAGTTCGTATGCCTCTGCTCAAGATTGAGCTGGCATTCAGGTAGACAGTTGCCTCCTCTTGAGGAAGTCGAATGTCTCTGCTCGAGGTTGAGCTGAAGATGGGGCGAGCAGTCTGCTTTTCTTGGAGAGGTTATTCGTGTCTGCTCACGGTTGCGCCGGCGAAGCCATGTTGACCTTGTTGAGGTCGATTTGGTCTGGTGTCAAATCTTCCTCAGCAGTAATGCAGCATCCCAATCCTATTGCTCTGCGAAGTTCCTCAGGCAGGAACAGAGTGTCAGAGAGGCACATTTAAATGTCCATTTGCATCCTCGTTGCAAAGTCTCCAGCCTCTGACCATGTCGAATTCGTCGAGAAGCAGTCGTGTGGCAGTAATATTGAATGTTCTCCTTGAAGGCAAGCCAAGGGCTTCAAACTCATGTCTTTGTTCCAAATGCTCGAGTGCATGGTGCCAAATGGGTAGACGGTCGAGCAGAAGAGCAATTCTGCTATTCTCGAAGAAGTTGGATTGCGGTGCATCCATGCTGAGGTCGTTGCGAATCGTATGGACTTGGATTTGGCTCTCATTGAATGCCAATGCAGACATTCAAGCCTCCTCTTCCTTCAGAATGCCTTGGTAGGCATTCAAGGACGGGCAGACGTTCGGGTGCAAGAGCAAATTGACGAGGCCGGCGGCCTCGATGCATGTCGACTTCGTCTAGGGGTAGTTGAATGCCGAGGCGAATATCTTCGAGGAGAACTCTACCCACAATCAGTCCGCCGACCTCACAACTGACTTCTACGAGAGCACTGCCGTCGTCCGACGTACAATGGAGATGATGCTCCACGGCAATGCGGAAGAAAACTCTCAAACGTGGAAGCCCACGTGCCATATCAGACGCCCTCTTCTCTTGCTTCCATGGCAGAAGCCTTTCTGGGCTTCTCAATCCACATCATCGCTCAGAATTTGCAAGCTGACGGTGCCAGATAAGTACGTTGGGGTTGAAGTGTCCTACGTTTTCCAGAAGTTGCCGAGTCCATTTTGATTGTGTTGAGGAGTCTGGGTGTTTCCTTGCCAGTCAATACAGGCTTCAACGCATATTGATACAGATGCTCGGGCAGATGATGCCAATCCCTACATGTTGAGGTGGAAGTGTCATAGGTTTTGGCTTGAGCTGGCGAGTTCATATTGACTTCGTCGAGGAGTTTCCGATCGTCTTTGTGACATCTGTTGGGTTTCCACCCACAATGGCGTGCAGGATGCTGGCACAGGCGACGCCGTATGGGTAGACGCTCGAGCGAAAGAGCCGCCTCCGCTTTGACGATGCTGGTATTGTTTTTGTTCAAGCCGGCAAGTCCAGTTGACTTGGTCAAGGGATTTGAAGGTGCTCTTAATTGCCATTGCACCTCTTTGACCAACGCCTTCGTCCAGGACGCTGGAGCAGCCGGCGCCGAGGCGGTACACGTTAGGTGGGAGTCTTCTGAAGCGAGGCTGTCTCTTGAGTGACGAAGCCAGAGGAAAGGTTGGTCCAAGCGGGAGTGGTATGCCGTCTCGTCGAAGAGGCTGTATGCCCCTGCTTGAGCTGGCATATCCTCGGCGGTTATAAATTACGATTTCGATCTCCTGGGTTGTGATGGTTGATCTTTTATCATCGCTGAGAATGCTGGAGCAGACAGTTCGCATGGGTAGACATTCGGCTGGAAGAGCTACTCTTGTTCCTCTCCAAGAGGTTGTATACCAGTCTCTTCGATAGTCTTGCCAAACAGCATTCAGATGCTCAGTAGAATCTCCTTGGTATGGATAGCGGATTTGTAAGCACTTTCGCCGTCGCTGGAGGTGCCTGAGTAGACAGTTCTGTCGAGCTGTATTTAATGCCGAGCAGGATCTCCTTGATGGTGACGGTTGATCGACAGACCTCGGTGGCGTCGCTGAGAATGCTTGAGCAGACGGTTCGGTATGGAAAGACGCTCGGGTGCGAGCGCAAGTCCTCGTCCTTGAGAAGTTTGTATGTTGCTTTCTTCGTTAACTTTGTCGAGCTGCATTTAGATGCCGAGTATAACCTCCTCGATGGTGACGGTGCTGGTTGATCTACCAACCATTTCGTCTTCGCAGGAGACGCTTGATCAAACAGCTCCGTATGGGTAATAGATTGGGGAGGGAGGCGACTCTGTCACCCTCGAAGAAGTCATATGCCCCTGCCTTCGATGGGTTTGTGGAGAGCTATCCAGATTTTGAGTGGAATCTCCTTGATGGTGATCATCGATCTCCAAGTCTCTTCGTCGTCGCTGAGAACCCTCGCACAGACGACGCTTTTGTACGGACGACGCCTTTGTACGGATACACCCACAAGTCTCCTTCTCGAAGAGATTTTACGCCGCCGTCCTCCCTGACTCTATCGAGCAGCCTTTTAATGCCGAGTACCATCTCCTTGATTGCATCGTCAAATTTCGAGCTTCAAGCCTCGTTGTCGTTGCTGGGAACCTTGGGCAGACGAGGGCTCCGGACGGATATGCGTTGGGATGGAAGAGCCGCCGTTCTTCTTGCTCTTCATGAGGTCGCATGGGGCCGTCTTCGCTGACTTTGTCGAGCAGCAGTTGAAGCCGAGCAAGAGACTCTTCGTTTGCGAGATGAATGTCGGTCTTCCACTATCCCCATAGCTGGTATTCGCATGGGTAGAGGTTGTATACCTGCGTCTCCGTCGGTTTCGCTGAGCAGCTTTCGCAGGCCGAGCAGAACCTCCTCGTTGGCGTGATAAATGCCGCTCTTCGACCCACCTGGTCACTCACATCCTTTCCGAGAGATGTTTCAGACGACTATGCGTGGGCTTGGAATGGCGGAGGAATGGCTTTCCTGCTGACGGGTTGATACGGGCTGTGTACGGAATGCAGTCTTCGGTGTTAAGGTTCAGCCAGGACTTCAAGTATGAGGCCGCTCATGTTTTGGAGGCTCGCCTGCCCACGCTCCTGGACCGATACGCTGCGATGCTGAATGTCTTGATCTCAGGGTCCCTCTCGTCGCTCAGTATGCTCAGGCGGACGGTGCCAGATGCATACCAGATGCGTACATGTTGGGGTAGAAAGGTGGAGCAACGAAGTTATATGTTGGAAGTTTTTAAAAGTCGGTTGAAGGTTGAAACTGTTGTGATCTGAGCAGAGTTGCGAAGGACATTGTTGAGGGAGTGAACGAGGGTGATGAGACGCCCAGCAGGTTGAGCTGTCTGCTGCAGAAGAAACGGTCGCCCGAGCGAGTGCACTCTCGACATCCCAACGATACCAAAAGGTTGAGCAATCTCCAGGGAGCTGCTCTGGCATGGCCAACGCAGCAAGCACCTTCTGAACGACTTGATTGACTTGTTCTCCACAAGTCTGCTTCATTGACAGAGAGCTCTTCATGACGGTTTAGGTGTTTTCAGCATCCTGGACGAATCACACTCCGTCTTGTTCAATCTGGGCGAGGAATCTCTGTTCAAGCACATTGCAGTCAACGACACCGAGTGACCTGGCTGGCACACTGGGCGAAGATCAGCCTCGACTCTGCAGGATCCAAGATGGCGTAATATCTGGGCAAGACCAGCTACTTCGTTGGAATGCAGAACAATGTTTGATCAGGCTCGGTGCAGGATCTCCAAGTCAAAAAGAGAAGGACGATCGTGCGTCTGATGCGAATGACGGAGCATAGTCTTGGACTTCAGAATCGTACGCCTGCGTCTTCTTGTCCGTCATGAGACATCCATTGAGTCCAGTTGCAGTCTCTTCTCACGGCCCACCAGTGGTCTTTGTGCAAGCCGCACCTCACAATGAATCCTGATGGATGAAGGGGAATTCGTAGACAGAACGGCCAGAGTTGTGGAACGAATCCGAAGAATGGATTGTTCGAGGACACCATCAAGATCTTCATTTTCAGCAAGATACAGACACTACAGGCCCACATCTTCAACGCATGTCGTCTCGATCTTTTGCCAGCTTCTCCATCTTCTCCCTCGTCATCTCAGCGGCTTGTGCAAAGAACTCCTTCCCACCCTCCATCAGCATCCTCGCGGCCTTCATCGCTCGCAGCGTTGGAAACCTCTCAAGCTGGAGCATCTCGGGTGGCTGACGGCTCGGCGGCTCTTCTTGTCCATATCGATCGAAGACCTTTCGCTCTCGACGAACCAATCGTCGAAGACCTTCCAACATAGGCTCCTGGTGGGCGATGGGGGCTTCGGCGAGCTCAAGTATCAGCAAGCATTCCTGTACCAGAGTTTTGGCATGTTCAATCTGTTGTGCCAGTGATATTCGTTCCTCATCAATGGCATTCTTGGTGAAGTCAATGAGCTCTTCCAGCGAGGTGATGGTCCGCGGCTGGAAAGCAGGCACCGAGCTCACAACTTCTTTCCAGCATCCCTCCCATGTCCTGCTGTCCTCACTGGGCACATACCTGCCCAACGCCCTCAGGCACTCACGAAACGCTCGTCTCCAGAGCGCAGGACATACTTCTCGCGGCAGATCTCGATCAGCAGCGGTAGCCAAGGCCACAATGATGGTGTAGACGCCGCAGTCCAGTGTGTTGGTTTGTCGAAGGCCGGCCTGGTTGTCTTCGATCTCCCATTGGATCCCATCGTCCGTCCGAAATTTGATGAAGTCACTGTCGACAAAGTGCTCTACAACCTGTCTTGCTTTCTGACAGACCCGATCCTTGCGCAATGGATCGTACAGAACAACAGTGTGGACGTCGAACAGGAAGATGGCCACGCTCCAGTGATTGTGCGGAACATACAGTGGCACAATGAGGATGGTATGGGTCGATGTGAACTGCCGAACTCGGGAGATCTGGGTTGCAACGGCAGGGCGGTCCACATCGAGGAATCCAGACTCTACGATGACGATCCTGTCTGGATCGGGGTTGAAGGCATCGAGGATGTCGAAAATGGCGGTCGAGGACATCCACTGCCCATCGGAGCAGGAGTGTATGGCGTAGGCGAGACTTGTCTCAGGGCGGTCGGACGTCGTGGGAGTTCTGGTGGATGTGGCGGTGGTGTTGGCGGCGGTGATGTTGGCGGCGGATGTGGCTTTGAGCTGGATAGTGGGCTTGTTGGATGATGATGGGAGGTCGATCATGATTGTGGATGTTGTACCCATCAGATCTCGACTGCCAGCAGTGCCTGAAGTCTTCCGGGGTCTGGAGGTAGCGCTGACATTTGGAGCGGGCTGTACAGGCTGGATTTGCTCCATCTCTGAGCTCATTGGGTGCGTGGTGATGGTGGACGAGGCAGGGCGTAGCATTCGTCGTTTCCGGGGTGTGTTGGCTACTTTGGGGTCTTCGTGGATGGAGCCTGGTCTCCTTCGTGTAAGCATCGTGGACTGAGTAGCTGGAGATTTGGAGGAGAGCGGGGTCTGGGGAGTATCGACTGCATTCTCTGTGGTTACGGCACGGCTGTCAGAGTCGATATTCGAATCGATGCTGTCGGTGTGATGGGTGTAGCAACGTGCGGGAGAGGCGGCTGGCATGGGCTCATCGTTGTGCAGGAAAGCGGTGTCATCATCACTGCCGTGCTGTACGGATCCAGTCCAATCCTCGTTGTCTTCCGTGCGGTCATGCTCGATGACCAGTGGCGTCTGAGCCTCGTGCTCAACGTCATGACCATCTTCGCGCCGATCCTGGACATTGGGCACCAGACCCTCCAAAGGATCCATTAAGGAGTCATCGTGCACAGGGCGGGAGGGGGTGACTCGGTCCCGTCGTCCTTGTTCTGGTGCAGCCACAGATTCTGACTCAACACTCCTTGTCCCATCCTCTGCGTTGGCCCAGACCTCTTCCTCATTCACCTCGTCATTCTGCCTCAAGGCGGATTCTGCGTCTATAACATGCCGATACTCCCATCCTGCTGAGGCCCTCTTGTCGGTAGCCCGGGCCTGGAGCAGAGCAGAAAAGACCTGGTCGAGTCCGAATCGGCGGCACAGCGGCTGGAAGACCTGTACGAAGCGGCGTGAGGGAATGGGGAGTCCGAGGAGGGCGATAATGACATGTGGTTCTACAGCGGCAGGATGTCGGTCCGTGGGAGAGACTTTGGCCAGAGCGCGGAACCCAGCGTGCTTGTTGCGGTCTGACTTGACGAGGTCCAGCACAGAGCGATCCAAGAGCTTGAGGGCTTGGGGAGTGAAGGCATCGGCGAGGGCGGCAGGGATGGGCTGTTGCGGAGTGCGGTTGTCGAGGACAAGACGTGCGAGGGTGCAGAACTCATTCAGTTGAGCTTGACGGTCGGTCGCGGCGAGCGTGCGTTCGAAGGCGGCAATGCGTGGTTGCAGCGGTGCGTTGTCGCTCATGGTGGTCGTCTGATCTTTGACAGTGGATTGATGACGAGCGCAGGAACCGGATCGAGGCGGCGGCGGCGGTGGACGACGTGTCGTCGGGATCGCAGGTGTAGAGCAGAGGGAAGAGGGTTGCGATGATGCTCGATGCGCACTCGGGGCGTGGGTGATATATGTGGTGAAGTGAAGAGGTGGGGTGTCTGAAGGTGGGGGATTTGTTGACAGCGGCTGGCGGATGTTGGGAATGCTCGCGCGTCACGCGACGGCCGTGCTGCCTCCACCAATGGGAAACGCCCGTCCTTGCCAGGCATCGTCCTGTCTTGCGGCAACAATGAACCCTGCTTGGTGATGCGCAGCAAGCGCTTGAAGGTTGATGCTGATTGTCAAGATGAAAGGACAAGCGCTTCGAAGAAACTCATCGCGAAACGAGCATGCTGGTCGTGCCCGTGGACGATGATGAGATAAATCAGACTTCTGAGTGAGGCCACGATCAAGACGACATCGTGCGACGACTCTTTGACCGAGAACAACGCCATGACAGGTCTTGTCGAACGTGGTTGTGCTGATATGTTGATACAAAGCATCACTTCCCACCATGCAGCCGTCCCTTCTTTTCACTTCGCAACCTGCGAGAAGGTGCGAAAAAGCCTGCCTGTCATCACAATGTGAGAGAAGCCATTCGAAAATGGCACGTTGTGAATCTTCGAGGCGACGAGCGGGAGCCAGGTGCACGACGAAACTTGCATTCACATTGGCGAGATCGTCGCAACTCAGGGATGTGACATTCAGGGCAAGCATATCTGATCTGGTGATATGCCATGTTATCCTTATGCCCGCTCCAACTTCAACTTCGTCCTTCTCCCTCCCCCTTGCAGCAAAGAGCCTTTCAGCCCCTGTTCGCCAGACAAAGAAATCCAACAGATCGAAAGTCTACAGAAGAATTCTCCACAGGCCACTGGACCAGCTGCAATCCGCTGCATTTGCCTGAAAGAATCGAGAGATCCGAGAAGAAGTGCCAAACAGACGTTGCCAAGGTTCAGCAACAATTTTCCAGGATCACTGATGCAGCTCCGAAGGAACAGAAGACCCAAGCAATATCACAACCCAGTGAGCCTCAAGACGTTCAAGATGTCGACGAAGAGTTTCCAGCCCTGGCAACGATAATATTGAGAGCACAACACAGCGAGGAGCTGATCTGAAGTCCTTCAACCCGTCATGTTCGCAATGCCTAGGATGCCGCACAAGAGAAAGACTAATGCATTGCTCTGATCAGACATCCACGCAGCTCATATTCCTGACACTGCTTGGGTTTGTTGACGTCGACAACTTGGACAGGAATGCCAACAGGCTGGCTGAAGCACCGGACGTGAATAGCAGCAGCTTCCAGGAATGCCGCGGGAGTTCGTCCCACTCTGATACATTCTCTTCCAAAGGATCTTCTGCAAGTATCGAAACTTCAGTTTGCTGTGCTGCTTGGTCGAAATGTTCCTCCTCATGAACGAGGCTCAGCCTAGACTTCCCCATGGTCCTTTCCGAGGTCGATTGAAGTCTCCTTGAAGGTCATGGCTTGGCTTTCGAGGATATCGAGGTCGATTCTGAATCCACGTCCGGGTAGTGTGAACTTATACGACAAGACGATGTTGGTGGGCCGGCGCAGTAGAACTCTCATAGCTGGGAGTGCTGCTTGACCATGTCCATGGATACCACAACACCTTCAAGACGCTGAGGAACAGCCAGCAAGTCGGCATGCACCACCATCGTTAACGAACGAGGGTGGGCGCTGGAGATCAGTATGCTGGACGGCGTCTGATTAAGATGAATGCTGCAGGCGCAAGGGTATCGAGACAACGCAGCCGGTACTGGAAGGACGGCGAGACAGAGACAATGAGAACTCCAAATCAACTGATTCTCCATGCTGCCTCGACGTTGCAATGAAGTCGCTGTTTCGATATCAATCGGCGAAGGCCAATAGCTTGAAGACTTCGTACACCAGCAGGCTTTGGCCATGTAACCATGGCGTAGCTTTCTCGGTCGGTGAGTTCATTGAAGGATGTCGTTCGGATGATGCCTGCCAAAGAAGATTGAAGACGATCCAGGAGCATCGGCGATGCAGTGTCTCGCCGTGTTGAGTGGACCGTCTTGTGTTTGCTGCATCAAGGCGGGCATTGCTGAAGCAGTTGATCTCATGACAACGATTCTTGCTATCGGCCAACCTGAATGTTGCTCTGATCGTTGCCTGGGGAGGAAGCTGCTGGTTCTGTTCCATATAGATGGCGAAGGATCTGGATGCTGATGCTGTGGCTGTTCGGCTCTCGCCATGACAGGACAGGCTGCTGGTGCTGGCTTCGCCGGTGGTCACCACTCTGACACCAATGATCGAAGGCGCAACGCCCTTTCTCCTTGCCATAATAGTGTTGTGCATTCGTGGCCAGCAATCACACGAACGACATGTTGGAGTTCTCGTCGTCAGGGGCTCATTGCATCAGTCCAGTACTCTTGGGCAAGCTGCTATCTTGAACAGGTGCTGCAGCCATGGTCCGGGTAAAGACCAGTCATTCTCCAGGATCACTTTGGATCATGAGCAAGAGCCTACTCACAGAAGCCGCTTGAAACGATTCCTCAGATTGTACACGGCAGAGCTGTAGGATCCAGTTCTCGATCGACGGCACATCAATCCTGGGTGTGAAATGTCGGCTGCCAGATGTTGAGGGTGATATTCCGGATCTGAGTCGCAGAAAGAGGGTGGGATTGGAGTAGGTCTCGACACGATGGAGCTGATGATGGTCTGTGGAGTGCTGTACGTTATCGTGGAAGTGTTGACATCGGCGGGCAAGAGCGTACCGACGCAACAGCCATGCTGAAATGCGCCGCAAAGCAATGCCACGGGGACATTATGCGTCTGTCGAAAGCATTCCCGCGCGAAGTAATGCCGTTTGGTTGAACGCTGGTATGGGGCATTCGCCGTCGAGAACTGCGTCGCAGATGTAGAAGAAGCAATTCTTGATCGTGTTTGGCGACGACGAAGAGATTCGTGAAGTCCAGCTGCTTTGGCCTTCGAGATTCGGCACTCGTTCTGGAATCGATACTTGGCAAGCTCTCGCGGTGATAAGAATGGCGCAATTGGCTACGCCTGTCTGCGTGGTGGAACAATCTCTGGGTCCTTGTTGTCTGATATGAGGCTGTCGTTCGTTTGAGGTGATGAGGCAATGCCTTGCTTGGATGGCCAGAGAACCCGTCTTGGACATGCTGGTGCTGTATGATCGTGCGGTATGCTGATGGCGATTGTACTGGTCTTGGTTCAGGAATGAATTGGCCGGTGTCGATGCACTGGATGATGAGAAAGCGAAGACGCTGGAGTTTTGGTTGCCGGTATGCTTGCTGCTTTCGCGGAAGAGCTTTTTGACTGGGTGGCACCCTTTCCCCATTGATATCTTGCCGCTGATTACATCGATTCTGGTGCCCCTGCTGACAGAACTGTCTTTCAGCGAGCTGGGTTGCGTCGGGAGAATTTCGCTCTCCTCCGCCCTACCTTATCTGAGGACTCTCCTCACGGGAAAGTGTCAAATGACCACGATGCGAGTGGGACGGCTACATACCGACCTCCAGTAGGTATGTTTGAAGTAGGGCGTTGTTGTTGCCATCCGCATTCAATATGCTATCGTGTGAGAGACTGAAGTGCGAGAACGGGAGTGACAGGATGAAGCCGTTGAGCGACTTGCTGATGCTGTCGCCACGACAACTGAGCCTCCCAAGGACGGCGCCGGAGAAGATGCAGTGTATCGCAGGACTGATTCCGCAGCCATTACCGAGCATTCAAAAGGTCGCGATCAGCACGGTCACGGATGAGTTGCTGCGACGGCTTCCTTCTGAGTTCGAGAATCAGGTTGGACCACATATATGTTGGCAGGAGACCAGATCTGCGTGTCAGAGCTTGCCGAAGAGTGCGCAGTGCCGTTTCGGACGATCTGCTGTGAAGATGGGGTGCGGAAGACTCGGACGGGCAGAGAGTGGCCGTGTCCTTTCATTCCCGATCCTCTACTCAAACGCCGCACAGTCCTATACTGGATGGCCGTGCGCGGCATGTTCTCCCCGTGTCCGACTGCAGATGCATCTGCTTTCCCTACCTCCTGTCCATCTCTTGCCAGTCTCATACCTCATCATTGCCTTGTCCACCGCGCACACGGCGCATTGCGTCCTTCTACCACAAGACAGCATCTCCCATCATGGACGAGCCAGCCGCCATGGGACGCATCCGTCGCGCATCCACCTCTCACCCCTCCAGTACTCCTGCTGCTGCTTACTCGGCGCCGTGTACGTTCGGCGGTGGATGGCGTGTCGTCTGCGCCGGCGAGAGGAGGGGAGGTTCAGGTGCTGGCAGCAGGGAGGCAGGAACAGGTGCGCAGGCGTGAGGTTTGCGGATGCTGGCATGTGGTGATGGCTCGTCGTGGTGGATGCAGAGGGAGGAAGTCGGGAGGTGTTGCGGATGGGCCGGTGGTGAGGAGGGGAGCCGATTTTGCGGGGGCGGTGAGGTGGTGATCTTGGCGCTGGGGACAAAAACTTCCCCAGCTGGTGAGGATGATGTCATCCGCGGAACTCGGTCCGCTTTCCGCGCAACCTCCCTTCTCTCACCACTGCCACTACCGTCCGCTCTCACGTCCCTCATGCTCACATATATATGCCACCTACCTCGACAAGATCCAGTCGGCCGACAATGCAAATCTCCGACTCACGACAGACGACTCGCTCGAGCACATCCATCTGCAACCCCCGTTCCATTCCAATAAACCCCTTTCATCTAGCAGGCTGACGCATTCTCCCTCCTCACCAACGTCTTTTCGTGTCAGGTGCATGATGCGCTTTCAGCTTCATCCTCAACTCTCCAGTTACTCATGCTCCAGGACGTGGAGATGTGGGTTATCGTCGGTCTCCAGCTTCCATCGCTGCTCCAACACACGCTCACGGCGAGAGCCGAATCCGCGACGCAGGCAAGGCAGGTGGAGGTGCTTAAAGAGGCAATGAGAAAGCGTGGTAGGCGAGGTACTCGGTAGGTATGTCAGGCACCATCAAGGACGCATCTTTTCATGGCAGGCTCGCAGTGGACGTTCTATGGCGAACCTTCGGCCAAAGCCGGGGGAGACATTGATGAACGGTGTGCTGAGTCGTGCCGTCAATCACTCATTCGAATCTTCTACTGAAGCAGATCTCGATATTACAGGGAACGAATACAAAGTCTTCTCCATCCTAGGCTACGAGGAAACGGCATGTGTTGGCGTACAGTGAGGCTTTGATTCTCTCGGGCCAATCAATCTTCTCACGACTTCCAAATTGGTATCCTGCTGGAATACCAAGAGGGACATTCGCAGGCATACGCGGATATCCTGTGATTGCAATGTCATCCGAGGACGAAGGCCAGGGCACAGAAGTTGGTGTGGTTCGGCACTTGGATTCCATGTGGTATTGCAGGAAGGGTTCCAAATAACGAGGTACACCTCGAAAGGTACGAACACAGTAGCTCAGGCGGATCATTCGAGGCGAGGGGGAAGTGGGTGGAATGGGGTGGCAGACCAAGCGGCCAGCGAGGTAGGCATGCAAGCCGGCCGATACATGCAAGCCTGCTGTACTGCGGTCAGGCACTCCTCCCCTGCATTGCTCATCATCGCTAATACACCCCGACAAAGCCCATATCCATGCCCATATACACCCAACTGCTACCTCAGACCAACTGCCACCCCAATTCACCCCCACACCCAGACCACTCATCTACCCAACTTCTTTGCCGCACCCTCTCTCAAACTACAGTCTCGCTTTCGCCAAAGCCCACCCCAACCCCCAAACCTCCACACCAAACCCGCTCCCACCCCAAACTCCTACCCCAAACTCTCCCCATGTTAGGATCTCCCCGTGCCAAACTCACCCGCGGCCCAACTCTCTCGTCACCCAGCTCTCTCGTCGAACGCTCTCGTTATCCTCCCTTATTAAAAGCTCCCTCACCGAACCCCTCGTCAAACTCACCTGCCAACCCACATCTACACCAAACATTCTCACAAAACCTACAAACTCCTTCGCCCCTTCCCATTCCCCAAATCATCCTCTCCCCTACCGCAAACTCTCCCCCTCTCAAACTCTCCCCTAACCACAACTCTCCCCTAACTACAAACTCTCCGCCTCTCGAATTCTTCCTAACCCCGATTCTCCCCCAACCACAACTCTCCCCTAAACAAATTCTCCTCTGACTAACTTCTCCCCTGAATTACTTCTCCCCCAACCAAGCTCTCTCTAAGACCAACTCTTTCCCCAACCAAGCTCTCCCACTTACCAAGCTCTCCCTCCGCCAACTTCTCCTCGAACCAACTCCTCCTCGAACCAACTCCTCCTCGAACCAACTCCTCCTCGAACTAAGGTCTCCTCGAGTCAACTTGTCCCCCAACAACGCTCTTCCCAAACCAACTTCTTCCCCAGCCACGCTCTCTCCCCGACCAAACTCTTCCCCAACCAAGCTCCGCCCCGACCAAGCTCTCTCCCTAACTGAGTCCTCACCCAACCAACTCCTCTCCCAACCAACTCCTCTCCCAACCAACTCCTCTCCCAACCAACTCCTCCCTAGGTCAACTTCTCCTCCAACCAAGGTCACCCCAAGGCAAACTCTCTCATCAGACTCCATTATCAAGCCCACCTGCCACCCCCACATCTACACCAAATCACCCCCGCACCAAACTCTCTTGGGCACCAAACTCGCTCCTGCGCTGAATCTCTCACAAAGCCAAGTCCCCTGCTAAACTCCTTTACCCAACATTCATCCAAACAACCTCTCCAGTCCAAACCCCACTCCAATATCAAAGTTCCTTACCATCCTCCCGTGCCAAAATTCTACACCAAGCTCACACCCACACCAGATACGCTCTACCAAACGCACTCACACGCCCAACCCGCCCTTCAAAATCTCTCGCTTTTCTCCATTCCCTCACTGCCGCTTGTGTATGAACGGAATCCACTTTGCAGGCCAATTCTCCACCACTTCGAACGTCAGCCTTCAACATCCAATGCACTCCAAACCCCTTGGCCGTTGCCAGAGGAGCTACCGGTTCGGTGTCGCTTCCGGATCCTGAGATTGCCGTCCCTCAAAGATCTGCGATCCTTGCTCGCTAACCCTTACCACTCAACTACCAATTCGTCTCGTTCGATGAGGTTGTAGAAAACTTGAATTAATACATCACGCAACAGACGAACTCGGTTATCGTTTTGCTTCAGCGATTCTACGAATGTCCCACGTTCAACTACAAAAGACAGGGAACAAACACGAAGATCTTGAAACCGTTCTGAATGTGGTTTTGTTGAGATAATCATTCAAGTTAGCCCCAAGATCGATGATGTCCGATCACCAGCTACGAATCCATTCGTAAAGAACGACAAGATCCGTACTACATCAACCGCTTGTGCTTGAGGGCAACCCAACCTTTATCGTATTCAAAGCTGCCCATCTGCAGCGTACGGCTCATATCTTCATCAAGACGATGTTCGCTCCCAATCATGAGACTGTATCCCATCGCGACCGCACTTGCATTGTGCACAGAATCATTCCGACCTGTACGGCTTCATGCATACTCATTCAGCCTCGTACCCCTGAAAGCAAGACAAAACATGAATACCAGCCTCGATTCCCACCTTCTGCGATCCTTCGACGTATTTTGGATTTGAGCCTTGTGCGATCGCAAAGGTCAGTTCGAAAGACTTCATCTCGATCCACTTGTCGTCCCTGGCCACGAGCATTTCTTCTACGAAAGTGGCCTACAGGGATCGGCGTGTCAAACCCGAAGCTGTTAGACAATTAACAAAATGTCAAGAAACCTCTTCAAAGCATAGTAACAGTATCATGGCGTCTGTAATCCAAGGTACCCGCGGCCGACGAGCATTTGGCGAGAGCACAGTTGGACAGTTCAGCCAGGCTCTTCTTCATACTCATTCACTGCAGGATGTTGCCAGGAAGCACTCTTGCGGCCATGTATGCATAGATCACACCTGAAACTGGCTTTTGTCGTGGACTGAGGGTCAGCAGTTCGATCTGCGGCTGCCAGACTCGTAAAATTCCACGTACCCCCTGAATCCCTGAACTGATGAACCCCTGAGCCCCTGAGCTCCCGAGTCGGTACGTTCAGATATGTCAATGGATGGACAGTCAGCTGTTTTTTCTTCGAGAATCTTCAGCATACGGACGGACTGAATGGCAAACAGTAATTTGGCCGGGTGCTGGCACGATCTAGTTGTTGACATCGCTTGGTCTAGCAAATATGTCATCCCAAACAATCGCTCCTTGGGCAACGGCAGTTCCTAAGACCGCTCTGTTGGAAATGATGCGACTTCCTCAAACTTATATTGCATTCATACTCATCCTACGTTTGAAGAATAGCAAGCACAACGTTTCACATTGCTTTCCGCAGAGCTTCGTAGCTTGCATCGTCAAACGGCCACAGCTGCAAGTATGCCACAGACATCGAATTCTCTCGCTTCTGGAGCAGCCCAGATTTGGCAGACAGAAGCTTTCGTGGTCATTGTTCGAACTTCACCCCCTCTATTCCTACACCGTGACCTCTTCCTGAATCTTGGCCTGACTAACCACTTGCTACGATGCGTGCTCCAGCCGCTTCAGAGTTGGCATTCCGTCTTGGGCGTATTGCGTTCTGGAGTCGCTAGCTTTTATTACAAGGATGGTTTTTCTTAGACTACTAACAAGTGGTTGCAGTACATGATGACAAGCCACGACTGTTGATCTCAAAAGTCAGGCCGGCCTCTGTGGATTCGAGGTTTTGGTACGACTTCCGAGTGTCTCGAGCTAACGCTCCCGCTCCATCTTGAACAACACCTCGTTGTTGTTGGCTCCGTGTTTGATGTTGAGATGTTTAGATCTGCCGCGGCTCTGGCCATGAGATTGTCGTTTCTCTCGTACTTGACCACATCAGGGAGGATGAGGCAAAGGCGGACGAAAGCAATCGAGAAGGGACAAAGTGGTTGGGTGGTGCTGCAATCTCCTCGACCATTCTTAGTCGATGTCTCTCAGGTCTCGTGTGATAATTTCCAGTGCAATGCAGGCAGGACTCTGCGGCCGTCGAAAAGGAAAGGTAGAGGAACATCGGCGCGAACTGGAGCTGGAGTACTCGAGATTACATTCTCGGAAGTCATGAGGCAGCTGTCAGTCCCAATCTGTTAGTATTGTTTTTATTCATCATCGTTCGTGGTTGAAGTTCTGGTGCAGGCTTGCTTCTTTGATCGGGCTATTTTTCTCTAGGAATCATCCATACCCTTGACTGAGATCGTGCCCGTTCTCGAAACCTTGCCGTTGTCATGCTCACTCCGGCGACAATCCTTCAAAATCAACGAGGCCGCGTTCTACGATCATGGACTTCGCTGACGCCGAAGGCTGCCTTCAGACTTGCTGAGCTGCGGTCATCAAGACTTGTGCCGGACTGTTTCGTCCGCCATCCAATGAAGAACTTGAGCTACAGACCGATGATGAGATGTTGGCGTTGGAGGCCTTGACTTCTTCGATGACGGGTTCTCGACGAAAGCATGAGGTATCTTCGACCTCAGGAAGTCCCTCATGGGTTGTAGAGATGCTTCGTTTGAGTCTTGATGATATTCAGAGATGGAAATGACGAAATCAACATTGACCCGGTATAGCGCCTCTTCAACTGTACTCCATGGAGCGTTTTTGAACAATACATAATCGGGCTGAAGCTACAATGTATTTGCCTTAGGGCTGGGCGAAAGCACAAACTTGAACGGAGTTGAGAAGTCGTCTCTGCGGTAGAGAAAGGGTACCAATGCTGATTGATTTAGGGGAAGCCTTGCGTGACTTGCTAGGACGAAGCGATTGTACGACGCCGACCAGGCTGACATAGTCGTATGCCAACACGGGTATGAGCATTTTGGAGACGCTGAGATAGGTATTGTCGCCCATTTCATCCAGGCGTGGTTTGATAGTGCGTAATACCGTCAGTGTCCTCAATCCGTGCAACGACAATAGTTGCATGAACTATCTCTGGTCTTTCAGCTCAAGTATTTCGGCAATTGGGAAGCTGCTCGCGAAATTCGAAGATTGTCTTGAAGGCTGTACTGGATGATAGGATGCGTCGAAGGGAGTGTTGAGGCCATGTACACCAGACCTTCCACATACGTAGGCGCTGAGATTCTGGCCGACGCACTGGGCAACAGACTCATTGAGATTTGGTTCCGATCAAAAGGTCTGCGGCACTCGTCGACGTTGATTGTCATCGACGAACCTTATAACTGCCTCGTTCAATGCGTCGTCTTCAACACGAAGCAACATCCAGATAGACCACCATGTGGTCGAGCGAGACGTTCACCGGCAAATGCAAATGAAAGATGGGCTCGCACTGGTACTTGGAGAGATAGCGTCCCTGAGATATGCAGAGCAAGAAGCGCCCTCGGACAATGCTCAGGTACGCAATATTCAGAACGATCAGGCAAATCTGTGAAGCTTTCTGCTACTTATCTCCAGAACCAAAAGGAATGCCCCAGAAATCATTGAATCAACATCGTTCCGCAGTGAGAGTGCTCTTGGGATCATATGGTGAGTCCTGAATGCCTGTGGAGGTGTTTGCCAGCGGCATTTGAAACCGATCAGGCTCTGGAAGCGACAGCTCTTCTCCAGATGCGGTTCGCCCTGAATGTTCCTCGCAACACCACAGAGCTTCTCTTCTTGCTTGTGATCTGATAAGCCCTCAGCATATTATGCTCTGCGACAACCTCAAGAGCCCGTTTGTGCAGAGGTGCGAGAGGGTTGACGGGTTTGAACGCTGCGTGGTGTGACGCCTGTGGGCATGATTGCTTGACGCTCTATTTCGTCTATCAACAGTGCAGATTGCGTCCGCGGCCGCACTGCTGAATTCGAGGTATGCTTCTCCTGTGGACTTGCCGTTGATCTTCTGATCTCCAAACATCACATCGAGAAGCTGATCTTCCCCGGATGCAGTCGCGCAGAATGCACGGAGATCTTCTGCGTTAGTTGTGGTATGCGCCTCCTCGACCTCCGTGTAATCGGCTGAACTGCTTCTTATTTTGTGCTCTGCCGTCTTATCCTTTGAATGGGTATCTCATGGGCAGGAAGTGTAAGGGGTTGGCTTGCCTCCCTTCGGTCTCGCCTTTCTCTGCAATGGGGGGTGATGTACGGCGGCTCGATCACAGATGCCATCCGATCAATTCTGTCGCCCCTGAGTCTTATCCTTCCGGCGAAGAGCCCAATAGGACTCTCTTCTTTGGAGCATCCGCACATCTTGCAATGTTTCATTTCCTGCGGTGACGGCAATGTTGTGGATGTATGCATTGGGGCCAGCGATATCCCAGCGCCGAAGATGGGACTCCTCGCCCTCGCTCGAGTGACTTTCCTTTCCTCCATGTCCAGCTCAAGCTCGTTGCTCAGATGCTTTCTGCAGGACGCAATATGGCTGTCGCTGGCGAAGCAGAGTTCTCTTTGAAATGCTTGACCTTGGTCTGCGAAGAAGGAAGGATATCAACAGTGGCGATAGGGGTTCGTAATGTAAAGGAGCGTAGGTGTTTCAACCATCAGTCGGCGTGATTGATGAAGGCAAGGATGGCAGATATCGAGTGATGCTGAAGGATTGGCCGACTTCCAAGACATCAGAGGCAGTATTTGGCAAGAGATGATTGCGGGTCTGCTCGCACGGCGTGCAGCCAGGCATGCGGCTCATCAGTCGAAATCCGAGTAAATTGTAGAATGGTGTTCTAGGCAATTGGAAAGACATATTGGGACGACAAGCTTGGCAAGGGGCTTCGATCGCTGCAACGGGTAGGGCGCTTTGAGTAAGATTTCAGCAAGGCTACCCTAAAGACTACATAAGTCCAACCCGTTGTGAAGCTGGGGCGGCAGCGAGACATAACAGTTTCCATCCATCAGTATACTCAGATGAGCAATTACCTTATTTGTTAGTAACAGGCCGTTAGCTTGATGCATGTTGGAGAACTGGAAATTGCTACCATCGGTTCTTCACCCCCTGAACGCTTCACAACTCGCGCTTTCCAACTGCCGAGAAATAAACAACCGCCGCAGCTCCTCGCAAACCTGAGAGTTCTCCTTCCATTCCGCGTCGGTCGGCTGGAGATGTATTGGTCGGAGCACCAGCCACGGCACCCAATCGTGCACTGATAGGGTGATACCAGCTAGGAAGATTCCAATCGTCCCAGTGACTGTTCAGCGTGGCGTACTCCCCGGACAGCATCGTTACTGTTTCTCCAAAGACTGAATTGATCAGGTCCATATCGTATGTATCTGGGCCGATGCTATCCATTGCATCCCTGATAGAACTCCATAGACGATCAGACGGCGCAATAAGCATCAAAGTACTGGAGATATAGTCCTTTGAGATCCAGTAAGCCCTTGGCGCTGCTAGATCGGTTACAGGTATGCCGTGAAAGAGGTGGTCCAGATTCTGCATGATGAGCTGATCCGCGTCGAGGATCAGCACTCTGCGCAGACCAGGACTCAATATATGCATTTTGAACGCGTGTAGCTTCACCAAGCAGTCCTCGTAGTAGAAAATTCCGTCACGCAGCGGTAGGACATCTTGCAGATGCACAGTGACATTTTCAGATGCGAATGCAGATAGGCTGTCCTCGCCCACTCGGGACGACGACACCAGAACATGAACCGGATACGCTGACCCTAGTTGCTGGAGCTTGCGTATATTGACCAATACGGAGCAAGCATATAAATCGTTGGTCGCGTAGAAGACGAACGCAAATCCATGCTCTTCCCTATTTGCGAACGTCGCTCGGCTATCCGCCGCTCGTATGAGCCCGTTCTTGCGCTCTTGATATTTCGATGCAGTCCAGAGGCCTGCAATGAATGATGCAGATACAGAGCCAATGAGCAGTCGCCATCGCATACTGGGCATTTGCTTGTGCTTTCGTGCTGCGAGAGTTGGGAGGAACGATCTAGAGAGCTAATGAGTGAATTCTCTCTGTGGTACCGTAAATAAGAGTTGAGTCGCTCTACGCACGCGAAGCAGTTTAGCTCAATTACGACTTGTCTGTGAGGTTCTGGATTGCGAGCATAGCAATATAATCGACATTGCTTCGCCAAGGTCCAGTATTAGTCGTGAGGAGAGCGGAGGCCGGAATTTCTGGTGAAAGCGATGGAGGCAACTGACGACTCGACAAGACGACATCCCTCGTCCAGCCCTAACCAGTATCCAAACATGGCGTAAAAAGACTTCCAGATAGGAATCTAAGACCTCCTTGCCGTAGGGAACGACATCTCTGAACTATGGAGGCAGTATGATCTCCTTGAATTGGGGGCGTTTTGGGGCACGTACGGCGTTTTATGAATACGAACGAATCCTCCTGCACATAGCGTTTGCAGGATTGAACGGATAAATATACATGCATGGAAAGTCGATACCTCATGCTGAGCAGCTGTTGTTCATGCGACGATACTGACAGCATCCCAGGACAATCAGACCCGCCGCCCGTCTTATCTCCATGGTCATGATGCAAGTTGCCGAGAAGCATATGAGACGACCAGGCGGTGTGGCAGCCTCGCGATTAAGTCGCCGGCAAAGGAGGAGAAGAAGACGAGAGATTCTGCGAGACTCCGGAGATGCCTGGGGTGTCGGAATGAGCATGTTCACCAGCGAGTTGGCAATCATACCACACGAAGACGTTCATACGACCTCATCTTTTCGGCGCCAGTCGGCGTCTGGAAATTTAAGCTTCTGGACACATGATTGCCGGTCTCGCAATGCATGAAACGCCAACTCTCAGCGTTCAAAGTCACCATCGACATCTTCTAGAACGAAAGAACGAGCAGGGGCCGACAGAAAGACCTTGAAACCCCTATGGGTGTTCCTGAAGTGCTGGCGTCTCGCCTTTCTCCGTTTCGAGATCGCAAAGGTCGACGAAGGAGGCGGTGTTGATTGCCGACTCTACTCCGAATAGTCTCGGGGGCATCAAGTACGCCGTGCAGTATATGAGGAATCTGCCGAAACTGAATGTTGCCAATCCCGTTGACGCTGAGCGTCATCATCTGGTCCTGCGAACGCCATTCAAGACGTCGGTGACATTGGAGAAAGCCGATTGATGTATCGTTGAGGATACTGTACGCAATGAGAGATGACGGCGAAGAGGAGCTCGGTCAGATCCTCATATCTGAGCCTTCCAACGTCGAATGACTCGCCCCATCGTGTTCTCAGCACCGCCTGATGCCGCTCGACGCTATGAGGTTCACAGCGAGCAAGACGTGAGGATATCCAGATCCCAGGCCGCCAGCACACACAGCTGAGACGTATGGCCAGCCTTCGGCTACCTTCAAACATACCAAAGGGCAAAAACGTTCCAGCGAAAGAAAGCTGCAAGTCTGCAATGGTCACGGCGTTGCTCGTTATCTTATTTCTGATCGTGTCGTGCTCGAAACCGCGGTCAAAGCATGGGAGATTCCTAATCATTGGGCGAGGAATGTCTTTTGCGTCTTCGATTGAACTCTCGACATGCTGATGTGACTTCGTCGTGCCGTCACTGGCCAGATAGAAACATCTTTGCTCATATCGATGACCATTCTAGCGCTGCTCAAGACTCGTTCGGTACGGTCTATGATGTCTTCTCAAACCAATCCCTCGGTGGTGGTGAGGAAAGTCCTAGGAAACACACCCAGAGCGTTCACGATCTAGCATATCATGGCTAACATCCGCTTCCCCAACGCGAAGAATCAATCATCTTCTGCAACATTCTTGAAAAGCTGCTGAACTCAGGAGAGCCACAGTCGAAAGCGTCGCTTCGTGATGATACGATGTGACCCGGCTCTCTGCTGCTCGTATTGCGTATCCCTTCCAATCATTCGCATCCACTCACAGGAGCCGGTCTGGGCAGCAGAGACCCGATCGTACATGACACGACGAAGTAGCAGTCACTGAAAGGAACAGCTTTCAAGCAAGCTCCTCGATGAACACCTGATGAAGAGGACGTTGGCGGTTTTGATGTGGGTGAGAGGAGAAGTCGTAGATGGGTTGTCTCGGGCAACGTCAATGAGCTCTTATGTCGCTGTAGTCGAAACTTCTTGACTGGAAAGGGCTGATAGCGACTCTGAAAAGTCAACACCCGCGAGAGCAGCGAGATGGAATCCAGCGCAGATATTTAAATGCCGGTTCGAACATGTTCTGGTGTGCCGTTATGCGATGGAGAAGAGTAAGTCGGCCCTGGCGTTGACGGCCAGGATCAACGACGGAAGTCCCAACGAGAAACCAAGGTTCGACTTGCTTGTGCTCATGCGTACCGGGAGAGACTATCGTCCAGTCATCGACAATGAGAGTGAGACCAGCGCCGAACACTCCAGTAACGATCTTTCCAATTACCGCACTCGCAGCCAGAAGGATGTATCTTCAAAGATAGGATCGGGCGCCGATACTTCGATCATCTCCATCATAGACAACTTCGTCATCCCGTCCTCGTATCGCCAAGCTAAGAAAAGAAACAAGCCCGGCAGTTCTTCGATGCACGACTGCAAAGTGCCTCTACCATGTATCCCAGAAGCCCGCCACATTCAACGCCCCAGCTCCTGCAGTACGACAACGTCGAACACGTCGAGCGTACGAACGACGAGAGCACTCATGCTTGTGAACATGCTGCAATCATCCATATTGAGCCGTCTCTCGCTCTGAGTACCCAGTTCCTCCCACTCGTCCGCGTCATAGTGGGCTCCAAGTTCACTCTGGTAAGTACGAAGGCAATCGTGACAGTATGCAAGGGCGAGGTGATATCAACGGCCGTCTGGAGAACTCGAGGATGGTAGCGTCGAGGAGCATGGAAGTCTGTGAGGTGATCGAAGGTCAAACGAATGTCTTCGCTGCTGGCTTGCATTGATTATGTCCGATTCAGGTGGATAGCTTCCACATCTGGAACGTCCCTCAACCATGTTCTTGCCACAGAGTCCCCGACGAGCCTCGGCGGGATGTGTATCTCATTCGTGCTCAAGTTGAGGAAACGAGCGGCTTTCATCCGGCCTCTTGGCCGTAACGAGTGTTGATGGGAAATCGATGAGCTGAGGATGAGGGCGTTTCTCTCTTTGGACGGGCTGAAGCTGAAGACTTGGCCTCATACAGGGTGCTCTCTCTACCCTTTCGATATAGTATACCCTCGGCGTAGTCAAGGACAACCATGGGACCAAAGAGTCCGGACTTGCCGCAATACACATGCTGCTCATTCTCTCTGGGGGCGTCTTCTCGGCCAATCTCCTTCTTGATCTTCTTCGACAGCTCCTCCGTCTCCCTTTCGATTCCCGTCGTCTCATCCTCCAGCCTCTCAGCTCGCTTCTCCTTCTCGGCTTCCTCTGGCGACATTTCATCCATATTCTTCCTCTCTCCCTCCAGCGGTGCCAAAGCCATCTGCGTGGTCTCCTGCACGAGATCGAAGTCCTCGGACTGCCGCAATTTCGCCAAAGCCAAGTTGCCGATGACACCATGGACGTGGGTGACCAGTCTGTGGCTGCCAGGCTCCACATCCTCAATCGCTCGACCGCAAGAGCGACTCGTGGAGACCCTTCCGATGTGCCGCCGTCGAGCAACTCTTCGGTGTGGGGGATTGGTGCGGTACTGAAGAACACAAAGGAGGCGCTGGTCTTGGTATGATTGGTAGGAAGTCGTGCTCAGCACGCAGATCATTATCTCCTCGAGTATAGGGTTCCACCGATGCAGCGATGTAGCTCTCCTCGTTAGTTGCGTGCCATCCAGAAACGGTGACGAAGAATCTGGGCCACCTGTCTGCGCCTCCGCCGTACCCAGTCCGCTTCAGGTCTGACAACTCGAGTGTCGACATCCAGGCGTCGCCTGCCATCCTGTCGAGCAAGGAAGACGCATTCATATGCCGCCAAGTCCATCACATCAACTTCACCATTGATCTTGCGGTGGTGGGCCATCGATATCGCATTCGTTGGAGAGACTGACCTTCATACCCTCATCATTCAGCCAGCCGTCGCCGTTCTTCTGGCCAGTGCTGCCCATGAACTTCCCGATCGAGATGCCGTTGGCGTTCGTCCGTGGAAAGACGTTGCTGCGGCGGAAGACGAAGTGTGGATGAAAGCACAGAGCTCGGACTTCATACGTTTCCAATGCGGTCCGCGGCAAGAGACAATCGGCGAATGCTATCAGAACGAAGCAATCGTGAAGCCCATCCATTCAGGAGGCGAAAAGCGCTCGCAAATCGTTTGTTCCTCGATTCTGACTGATCGGATGCGAGAACTGCTTTGGGGTGGCCGAGATGAATCATGCCGTGCTTAAAGCGTATCAATTGCTTGGACTCCTCGTTCGGCGTCAAGGCCACCGCTCAGCTGCTGAACGCGGCGTGTAAGTTTGGGTGGGTACCAGGTCGATCTTGTCATTGCTCGAGGGAAGCATGTTGTTCAGGTCGAGCTCGAGGGCGCTGGTGTCTGCGGCTGCGGCGTACAGACGAACTTTCCCACCGCTGGAAAGGAAGCAGCAGAATGCGAATGTCCAGTGCCACCCTGACCGAAGACGAGACCAAGCAAGAAAGCAGGACGCAACACCACCCTCTGGTTCACGGCGACGGAATCAACTCGCCAATTCGACATGCGAAGTGATGGTTTTCCTCCAAGTTGAACTTCTCGAGGATCCAGCGTTCAGAGGGGTGGTCAGCGTTCAACGATGACCAATGGAGACGGCATTGTTATGCGAAGCGCACCAAGAAGAGCCGTGTGTGGTGTCGACGATCCTGGCATCATCCACAACAATCGGCGTGCACAGCAGCATGCTTCAACTGAGGTTCAACAATTGGAATGTAATCGACGTACATGTCGCCTCCAGACTGCACGATCGGGTCTCAGCGTGGAACTTTCTTTCCTTGTGGGCTCGTTTCCGTGGCAGTGCCGTGCTGGTCCAAGGAGTTCAGAAAACGCCGGCTTGCGAATCGATCCCTGCCATTCACTGCTTTTGGCGAGATGCTGTGCCTCTGGTTCGGCCATTCGACACCCAACGGGGTGGCAAAAGATGCGTAGCAGACGTAGTTGTGGATGAGCGTCGGCGAGTCTGCCAATGGAATGGATCGACATCTGCGACTTTGCTTCTTTCATACCAGAACGTTTGATCCTGAATCAGGACGTCGTCTTGGCAACCTGCTGCGTCGGGGAATGTCCGGTATCCTCAGACGTGTCGAACAGAAAAGATGCCTGCAAAAGGTCGAAACAACCCAGACTGATGTCAGCAGTTACAGCCGAGCGTACGTGCGGAGAACCAGATGATCCGGTCCAGATTGTGGAGATGACAGAGTAACCTACAAGAATTCGTGAAGGCAATAGCTGAGCATGGTGAGGGAAAGCTTCGACTTGACACGATCAGGTTCGAGACGTGTGAGGCGTACGAGATTGAGAAAGGACGGTGGATGGCTGGGTGTTTAGGGACAGTCTTCGTTCAGCGATTGCCATCACGGACCACGCCAGCACGGTCCTTGGGCGTGGGATATGATATTCGCGGTGATCACTCAAACGATCTTCCTACCGGAGGACTGTGATTCGTAAACTCGACAAAAGTTGAAGGCGTTGCTTCCTGATAGCCGAGTCGTGAAATTCCGCCATGTCGTTTGTTTCCCGACTATCACGGCACCTTAGCAGTATCACCAGCTCGTCGCTGCGCTTCTGACCCAATCGTTCTCCTCTCCGCAGATGTGATACCTTGTTGACTGGTGCATTGGATGATTGATCGCCATTTGCGTCCGAGAAACCTTCGATTCCCACGACAACCAGTCTCCAATCATGTCACGAATCTAGATACGTTCAAGGCCTTGTTCCAGCTCCCGAGGCGCATCCGTTGGACTCTCAACCGGCGTCGTTCAAGCTCTCAAGTGGCGAGATTCCAGTTCTCAAGGCGCGCCGCTCGTCTCTCAGAAGTCTCGCACTTCTGATTCTGCTGCGCGTTGAAGACGGTTCGCGGAAGGTCGAGTACGGGAAGCGCTCATACGGTTAGGGTCAGGGATCCTTCTTTTCCACCGCTGGGGAGTATCTGCCACCACCCAGCGCTCCATGTTCTTAATATGCACTTCTGCGAGCCCCCCGCTCATCTCAAGATCATTGGGCGATCTCGAGACTTCGAAAGGGGACGTTTCTTGCTTCGGCAGTGAAAGATTGTGGACGTACGCGGGAGGTTGGCGGTGGAGTCGTTCTGGAGGGGAGACTTGGCGGGGTCAAGTAGCGTGGGTAGGGTACGCTTTTGAGCGCCGCAGCGCTTGTTGGTCAAAGGAGAACGGCAGCGCAACAAGGGAGGCTACCTGTCGTGGTTGATTGAGATTAGGAAGCACCAGACGTCTGCCGGCGACGCCGGTTCTGCTCGCAAAGCGCTGCAGACCCGGAAGGAAGCATGGCTCCTTGCAGCGCAGAGAGGAGGGATGTCATCGACATTGGCGCGTTGGATGGAGGCGTTCGGCGCGGTGTTGGGCGTGTCGTGTGTATGGGTAGTAGTAATAGGTCATGGTTGTTATAGGTAAAGTGGAGCTGGACCCTGACGCGGAGCCATCTCCGCGTTGCTATTTTGGTGTGGACCCTAGAAACAGCTCTCTACCGCTGATAACAACAACAACAACAACACCACACACCAACCTCTACACAACCTTCACCACGAACAATATGCCCTACCTCTCTCAACCTCCCCTGCGCTGTCTTACGCGCGGGAATCCTCACATGCGCTGCAACCACCGCCCTCCCTGAGACCGGCAACTCCACGATCGCCAGCATCCTCCCCAGCGCCAACTCCAGCGCCTCGACCATCGCTTCCACCCAGACTCCACCGCCATCTTCGATCCGCTCGCTGATAGGTGAGGTGGAGGTATAGGAAACCGCAGCAGCTCGCAGTGATTGCATTGCGCACACCCTACTCACACATCCTCAGCTCCGGCTTCCCCTCTACCACCCGGTCGAACTCTTCTACCTCGCGCGTCACTCGTCCCGATAGAGTGCGGTTCCAATCTACCAGCAGCGATGTTGAAGCGCTTCACTGCTTGTACGACTTCACAGCTCGCGCCTCCTCCATCTCCAGCCCTCGATTCCCCTCGAACCGGTTCGCCGAAACGACAGACCTTCGTGGAAGCAAGACGTGCGCCGTGGAGATGAGGGGTTGTGGAGTATGGCAAGCAAGAGCACGAGTCAATTGTGAGCGAGTATAGCAGCAATAGCGCGCGCGGCGGTGCAGAATACAGGTCGGGAGACCTTCATAGGCAGTCGAGGTGGAGGGATGGGGAGGCCAGGCGGTAAAGGGTACACCGTGGGTAGATCCCACGTCATTGCACCAGAAACCGCGAACGCCGCCATCCACACCTGCAAAAGCGATATGAGCAGGATACTCCTCGGCACAGCGCTCGCGTGGAGACATGGAGGTCGCAGGAACAATACCAAGGACATGGCCGACCACGAATGCCAGGCATGAATCGGCATCGAGGAAGTGGGTAGAGATACAGAGGTCGCTGGCAAGGAGACGCAATTCATGTACAATGCAGTACAGCAATCGAACATGAGTCGCAACGATATCCTCTCCATGCTTCAATCCTTCTCTGCCCACTCCTGACCTCCACGCTCAAGGAAGGCAGCAAACCATCCTCATGCGAGGAATCCACCACCACCCACCCTGCGTTCGTTGACTGCAAAACCTGCGAGAACCTCGGAACCTCGAGAAGCCCATACCCCCCATTGCACAACACTCCATACCTCTGCTCCCCGGTCGGCCGCCCCAAACCCCAGGGAAGACAACTCCCATGCCCGTCCATGCCCAGAACGGCAGGCTGACGGACCTACTCCCTCGATTCGACTTCGATTCAGGCAGCACCAAACAGCCTCACAGGAGAAGTCTTCCAACAGCACCCCGAAGAACCTCGCCATCGAACGGTAGGTTCGTCTGGCCAGGCCTGGCCTGGTATCTCCATCTCCACCTTCACGTCCAAGCCTCTGATCCATGAAGCCATCCTCCTTCATCCCCCTGGAGATTCGAGCAGACTTCCATCCACCCATCCAAATTCACAATCCCACGAGTGAAACCACGAGGAGGAGATGTACAGATCCGTCCCTGGGAAATGGAACATCCCTCAACAGAGGTAAGCAAGATCCAAGAGCCGCAAGGAGAAGCACTGGGTTGGGGCTGGTTGCATCTCGCAGTACCTCTCACTCCCTCTCCCACTTCCAGTCCTGCCTTATGCTGTGATATCCATTCGATCCGATGCAGCCATCAGCCAGCCAGGAGATATCTCTCCATTGCCATGGAGAAGCCGCAAGCCGATATCATCCTCGCTCCTCCATCCATCCACCAAGAAAGGCCACGCAGTCACGCACAATCTTCATCTCCGTCAAACCACGAGTTCGAGCCGCATGATCGGTGGACGACGGAGACCTTCAGCATCTGCCTCACCAACCCGATGACCTCGCCAACAGTCATTCGTTCGTGATACTTGTGGCGTGGGCATGAAATCCCATGCTCCTCACCAAGTTCGTGGTGTCGACATACCACGATGGCCTTCGACTTCCAACTCTCAGCCGACCTCTGACTTTTGGGCGAAGCCAATCACAGCCCACTCGAGCGCAGCATCCATCGCGGCATGGACATATGCTTCACCTGCGAGCCTTCCTGCTTGCGATGGCCGCTGAAGGCGTCAATGCTGCGCAGAACTTCTAGCGAAATCACTCGAATCGCGGGCGATAGAGATAATGAACCTCGGCGACGGCGCAATGTTCTCGCAAGTCGAAGTCGGAGGCAACATAGATCATAGATGCACGACATGCATGGTTGAAGGTTGGGAGTTGGGCAAGTACACGGCATGCGCGGTAGTTGAAGTCGGGCATAAGTGAAGTCGAAGTCGAACATTAGCGAGGTGGTTGAAGTTGAACATTAGCGAAGTGGTTCAGGTCAGAAGTGGTTGAAGTTAGAAGTAGTTGAAGTCGGAAGTCGGAAGTGGTGGAAGTCGGAAATGGTTAAAGTCGGAAGTGGTTAAAGTTGAAGTGGAACGTGGTTGAAGTTGAAGTTGAAGTCGAGGTCGGACATGAACAACTCAAAGTCGCTCATGCCAAGTTGCCGGAGTACTCGAACTGGGGACGCGAGGTCCACCAGGACATGTACAGGTCGCGGGGTATTTACGAGGTTCGCAGACAACACCATATTCAATGGAATAGGCCGAAACCCCGGTGCGCTGGTACCCCCTCAACCCTACTGGCACAAAGTGCCCGACGACCCAACCCGGAGGAAAGTGTACTTGTGACCGGAGCCAACAAGCACGAAAGCCAACAACCCAACAGTAATGCTGCCGAAGTCAGTGGGAACGCAAAAGGGTATACTTCTCTGAGCATCTCGCAGTCGAAGAGCGAGGATGCCGCCGTCGGTCGGCGTCGAAGGCCGGCGTGGCCGATCATGAATGAAGAACAAGAGGGGAGGGGACCAGGGGAAGTGAGGGCAGGCCGCTGGAGGACATGGCGGCGGTGGAAACGAAGTCCTGGCGTGGGTCAGCAAGGGTCAACGTGAGAAGCATGCCGGAGATGAAGGTGTACTGACCGCCTCATGTCCTCCGGCCGGGCATCACTCTTGTAGCCACAACGTGGTCTTGACAATGCCTCGTCGACAATGAGGTCTTGGGCCTCTTCGAAATGAGGTGCTGATGGCCTCTTCGACATGAGGGCTTGTGCTGATGGCCTCGTCGACAATGAGGTCTTGAATCCTCTTCGACATGAGGTGCTGAGCCTCTCCGACATGAGGTGCTGATGGCCTCGTCGACGAGAGGGCTTTGAGCCTCTTCGAAATGAGGTGCTGATGGCCTCGTCGACAAGAGGGCTTTGAGCCTCTTCGAAATGAGGTGCTGATGGCTTCTTCAAAAAGAAGGCTTGCGGCTTCTTCGACAAGAAGGCTTACCGGCCTCTTCGACATGAGGGCTTACAGGCCTCTTCGACATGAGGACTTGAAGCCTCGTCGACAATGAGGTGCTGACGGCCTCTTCGACATGAGGGCTTGAGGCCTCTTCGACATGAGGGCTTGAAAACCTCGTCGACAATGAGGTGCTGATGGCCTCTTCGAAATGAGGGCTTTTGTCCAAGTCCGCCGCTCCATGGAGGAGACATGTCACGCCTACATGCCCACGTCGCTGCCCACGTCACGCCTACAAGGTGTGGCAGCCGTCGCTGGTCCGCCAGCGACGGCTGTCACTGGAGGCGAGCTATCGAAGGGAGCTATCTGCGGCCATGCGTCTGTGAAGAGTCAGCGAGGTGGAATGGTGTCAGGATGGGTGAAGAACAAACCTCAGCGCCCATCACCCAAGGCCATCCCTCCCACATCACCGTCGCCGCCCATCTCGCCCAAAACCACCTGCCGTCCATCGAATCCATCACCTGGAATCCTGTGAATGAAGGTCAGCGCGTTGTCGATGAAGGAATGGTGAGGGATGCGTACCTGGAGACACCGGGGTGCCGTGCTTCCCACTCGGTGCATGTTGAATGCTGGCATGTTGAATGCCCACCTGAAGTTCCCTTCCCACCCTCGGCAGCGTCAAACGCCCTTTGTGCAAGAACACAAGACGCGGGCGTCCCCGGCTTGGAACTGCAATCAGGCGGAGCTTGTGAGAGTAGTCCGTTCCCTCTTCGGTGTGTGGTGTGGTACTGGGGAGAGAAAGAGAGGAGGAGGAGGAGGAAAGCTGGGGGATTGAGGGAAACAGCCCGCACGGACTCCGCGCACGGACTGAGCAAATTTCTCGCTGGAGCTCCAGCACCCCGCCTCTGAGCAGGCAGCGGCGGTGCAAGTAGGGGATGTGCACGTCGGGAACGCCGAGCGAGGAAGCCGCATAACGGCATGCGCGAGTTGCGGCGACGCGAATACCATGGCAGTGCATGTTGTAGAGCATGTTCAAGCATGTGCAAGATTCATGTGTTACACTGGAACGTCTCCCAGCAACCTCATTTGCATCACAGACACGGTTGGAGAGTTGTTTGGAGGTGGGGTGGTGGGAAGCTGCTCCAGCGTTTGGGGAAGGAAGCTCCGGGGTAGCAGGAAGCCGCACGTCGGACTTGCCGTTCGGGATGCCGAGATGCCGAGATGCCTCAGGCTTGCGCAACACAGCGACGGACTGGCCGACAAGTCTTCTCCATACGTCAAGATGTCTGTATTTCCCCAGCGATCACGACCGTCTTGTGGAATGCGATGCATTCAGCGAGAAACGAATGTCAAAGCACGCGCAACTGCTCCCATCTCGCACGCCTTCACCAGCGGTGGTCACCTCCAAGCACGAAACACGCACCCTCCGCCGACTCTTGCACCCTCTGCCAACCTCGCACGAGTTCTCCACGCCACGACACAAGCAAACCGCTTTCATAAACCGCTTTGCAATGCAACGTGTTCGAAGGTAGACTTCCCACGGAGAGCGACGGATCCAGGAGAGGAAGTTCAGGCTTGTAGGAACACCGCCTGGGAAGATGTTGGATATGGGTGGATCAGTGCAGCATTTGTGGCATTTCAGGCATTCTAGGGACTCAACAACACATCTGAAGTGGGCGGCGGGCAAGTACTGTATGTGATATCATCAGCACAGCTGCTAATTTGGCGGACGAGGATACAGGAACTTGAGCAGCGGCTCTGGCGACTTAGCCGACGATACCACAAGGATGCGTATGATAGCAAGTATGAGTACAACTGGTGATCTCTTGATTGCCGCTCAAAGTCATTTTAAGCCTACCCTCGTGCAGCGTGCCTTTGAAGCCAACATTCGTTCTTGAACCGTTTCATGTGATGCTTGCGCCCAGCCATGGAGTGTTCCAGATGCTTTGTTCTGTATCGTGCTTTGCAGAGAGTCTTCAGGTCGTGAATGAGACAATGTCTACCTGGGCTACGATGAAAGAAGGTCACAAGTTCTTGTTCACGAGGATCGAGCTGCTGGCTTTCCGGCGCCCAGCCGTCACGTTGTTCCCCTTGCTCGATGACCTCGCAGCTAACTATCTGGTTCTTCAGAAGCACTCTGCCTTTGTTGCTGGTGGTCGGTCTCGCTTCGTTACAATCTTGGCCAGCTCTGGTGGTCCTGGAACCTCTTGGATGATCACCGCTTCTGGGCACTTTGTCACAGCTCTCCAAGTAGTTGTCTTGCTCTTCTTCCTCCAATCCGAGCCCTGCCATATGACCAAACATTCAGTCCATCAGCTCTTCGCGCAGCTTAGCAACTACTCAAACCGATCGTCCTTCGTGCGTTCCAGATCGCAGTCGCTGGCGTGAGGTGTGGGGCTTCGAAGAGGGCGGTGGAGGCGGTATGTCTCGTGCGCCGTCGGTCGTGGCCGTGAAAGAGCCATGGTAGGTTGCACATTCGAACCCTTTTGACTTGCTCGAGGTAGGAAAGTCTATGAATATATTCGAGATGATGTGTACGAGCCGAAGCTGGGGGAAGGGTGTTGCTCAACTGGTAGAGTTGTGTCGCGTGAGGGAGCCGGGCCCGAATTTGCCTAAACGCCGCTTATCTCCACGCTGGCGGCTTCGAGGACAACCACCCCACCCACCTATGCTCACCTTTGCCAAAACAGCACATTCTGACACATCCCTCCATGCTTTGATACATGACGCGCCAACACCATCAATGCAACCGAAGCCAGCTGCTCACAAAGCTCGAAGCGCTTCAGACGGCAGCGTCAACATGTCCCAAGCTGCTTCATCTCCGCCAAAATCCCCCTACGATCCGGGTCCAGATACCCACCGCCAACGTCGATCGAGTCAGACGCCGCGCGAAACGCACAGAAACCGAGCACAACCACGCGAGTCCAAACAAAGAGTCCATCTCCGAGCATCCTCGAATGTTGCCATTGGAGAAGGGTGGGGCCAGGAGAGGACAAAGCAGAAAAGCATCGCTGAAATGTAGACGAGACCGCGCAGATCACCAGCTCTCTTGCAGCAGAGATTCTGTACAGGTTGTCTCCATGGCGAAGCCGTCATACCTCAGGTGGTGTAGACATTGGAAAGTGGTCGACGACGTTTGCGAACCAATGCAAACTTGGCAGAGCAACTTCAGGTTGCGGATACTGAGACCGTGACAACCTGGCTGACGAGATTCCAAGATCGTTGCTTCACGTACATCTCCCGCATTGAATGCTGGTTTTCCCTTCGCTTTGCTTGTGGTCGTACTCAACTCCATTGAATAAACCCTTCTGGATGTCTCCAGAAGCTCCCCAGCCACAGTCGAACGGGCTCGGAATTGCTTCTGCCAGCAGTGACGGCGGTTACGCACGCATTCGGCACGCACGACATTCCCAGACAGGCATCCGAGCACCTCTTTCTACGGTCCTCCCGTCAAACTTCCTCGCTCCACCTCGCCCGCAAAGCGCAACCACACAGCTCGCCTGAGCACTCGATTCTCGATCACCCGCACCATGCAACGATGAGGTGGATGGAGAGTTTTATAAGAGGAGGCCTGAGCAACCTTGCGACTGAGTAGAAACATCCCAAGACGAGGAAGAATAGCAGGGCACGAAGGCTTCGACATTCGGCCTCGCAGAAAAGACAAGACTTTCTCGCGAGATCCACAATCTCTGCGGCATTCATGACGACATGGTTGACCCTGGTGGTTCGAGAGCTCATTGATATGACTGGAACGGGGTTCCTGTTCTTGGTCGAGCAGAGCTTGGCCGACGAATACGTTGGAACTGGGCCGGCGAGATTGAGGAGAGATACTTGAGCACCTTGTCTATCTGAGGCGTCTGGAATTGCATTCGAAGCTGGGATGGAGTTCTCTGGCGCTCTGCGATCGGAGGGAGAGATGGAGAACAAAGCTGCAGTCCTCACAACCAGAATCGAACTCGTTCAATCTTCCCTTCCACAAGCTGCTCTTTCTCTTTTCCACGTAGCATTTCGTTCAAGCGAGTGTGGTCTTCCTGACGTCCTTTGCGAGCCCAAGCTGCATCACTCACGCCATCTCTGAAGTCACCACGCATTCGATACCGGCCTTCTCGTGAGAAGATGACTATCGACTGGAAGACGTATCATCACATCTCTAGTGTTGGTGGAACGGCGCGCAGTAGATGCCCGCATTGCAGATGCGACAATTCATACGACATCATCATAATCCTCGAAAAAGATTCTTGAGCCGGTGTGGAATGGAGACTGGAAGTTGCAGGAGTGTTGTGTTCTTGGATGGAAATGCCGTAGACAGCACATCACATCGTTTGCTGATCAACTTGTCTGCTACCATCGTCTCCTCCACACCGGACTGTACCTCGCATTTGATGCTTCGTCGATCAAGCGCGTTGATGAAGCCAGCTCGCCATGAATCTTTCTCATTCGCTCTCAGCTGATTACGACTGGAGAGATACTACCACCTTCGAAGATGGTCCAGCCCGACCATGGAAGAACAGTCCCTCGTGGCTCAGCTCGTAGCCTTTCGATAGTATGTACATACATCCCCCGTGCTGGTGCTGAGAGCTGAAGAGCCGCCAAACACACGATGATCTTACCCATTCTTTCAGCTTTTTCCACGAACACCTCTGCTTCAGTACAACGTCCAGTTGCGAGAACTTCGTCCCAACTCCCGTCATCCCTGGTTCGCCAGCAGCAAGCCCTCCCACAGGGACTCGACCTGTACCGTCTGGCGAGGATCTCTGCAGAGATTTTAACCTCCCAATCATGTCTAAATTCGACGCCCCCTGCCGCAAGCAACATCGAGTCTGCGCTACTCCGAACCAAGACCAAGAACCAGCTAAAGAAAGAGCGTCAAGAGCATGCAAAGGCACTCGAAGAGGAGGCCAAGACGAAAGAAGTGGTCAAGCCGAGCGTGGAGGAGCCAGCTCAGGAGGAAATGGTCAGTCGCAAGAAGATAACGGAGAATTAAACGCAGCCCAAGCCAGGTAAAGCCAAGATAGCTGGCGAGGTGGAGCGACTGGCAAAGGCGCCAGCGCATACCAGCAGATGACGCGCTTGAATGATCTCTTGTTGATTGAACCTAAGGGACGTTGGGGACCCGTGGGAGGAGTTGTCGGCGTAGATATCTGCGATGGGCCGAACAAGGGTGGGTAGGACGATTTGGGTTGACGTTGCGGACACAGTAAGATGCTGAAGCTCTGGAACTTGTTGAGAGTGGATACATGTGCATGACCGTTGAGGGCAAGAAGTTTGTTGAAGCTTTGGTTGAATGGTATCTGTTTGGGATCTCGAAAGTCAACGTTCTGCTCAAGGAACGTATTTTCTGGGGACCACCCTCGCCGAAACCAAGACCGTATGTTCATGCGCTTGTATACCCCATGCCAGTTCCTTCACAGCTTTCCCGACGTCCTCCATCTCTGTTCATCCTGCCTGAAATCGCGAAAGCTCACCAGACATGTCCATCTACAGCTCTTCTCTCCCCCTCCTCTTGTCATGGGATGAAGGATGAGCTTCGCCGGCGGGATTCGAGACCACTGTTTCTTTCTCCGTGGGTGAGGATGTAGAATGAGGCATCGATTGTATCGTTCTGTTGCGCTGTCGATGGCAGGTATTGATGTTTTCGTAGCATGGGAAGCCTCACAAGGAAGTTGTATAAATTTAGATTTAGTTCAGGGTCCACCACGTGGGCCCGGAAATCCAGGGTCCAGGGTCTCCGCGCGCTGGCGACTTCCCCCAGTGCTCAAACTCCACCACTACAGCTACCAGTTCTCGCGCCAACCCACGTCCCACCTACAGGAAGCCAACAACACCCAGTACTGAAAGCGCCGCACCGTGTGGACTCATACACTCCCTATTCGGCCAGTTCAAGACGACAGACCTGCCGGCGCGATCCCCAAGAAGCCACTGCCTACGACAAGCCCATGGGATACGAGCGCAATTCGAGTTAGAAGTCTCCAAGTCAAGCCAGAGCCAGTTGTCGCAATGGCGCATCAAGAAGACGGATATGCAAGGCAACCGCGAGGCCTTCGCCTGATTGATGCAGAAGTGGGCGAGCTCAAGACCTGGGGACACACAAAACTGCTCGGCCATTTCTGAGGCGATAGGTGTGGGTGAGTTAAGACGTCACGAGAGAGGAACACAATCAGCATCGAGGGGAGGATGATAAGCGAGGGCATGGGATCTGATGCACTTTGGCGTGGCAGCGATATCGAGTTCGAAGAACCGACCAAGGAAGCGGTTGGGACAGAAAGCAGCAGCGCCGTGATTTGAGTGATCAAGGCCTGGTACCTAACATATGATGGCTACACCAGAAACCAACACGTTCGATCCTATTGGCGCTGATCATGGGCGAAATGCTGAGCGCGTTTGTCAACAAGAAGCATGCTCCTTGGCTCTGGTCAGAAACCCCCAGAAAGCAATCGAAACGATGCCGTGCAATACCACGGCCTGCGGTGGTGATGCATTGAGTACTTGAGATCGCCAATACAATGTGGCGTACACCATTCGTGCTCAACCTGAGTGGCATCTTCCCCGCCCATGGTCGTCCACGAGTCTCGATTTGGCGACTGTTCCGGCTTGGTTCGACTGTCTCCAGCTTACGCGATGCGTGGTACCAACGTATACCAGAATACTGCCAATCCGTACCGCATTTGGCCCAACACAATGGAAGAAACCTTCTTCAACACATCTACCTCTGCGCTTCCCAGGTCTTCCTGCATTGAGAAGCACAAGCTCGACTGCTTCTCATGGTTCAAATGCCGACACATGTTCGCCATCTGACCAATTGCCAACGAAAGAGATATTTCGATGCCGTGGGAGACAAGCACCACAGCTACGAGAATGGAAAATTGAAAGGCTTTCTTGGACAACGAAGAGAAGCTTCAACAGCAGATCAGCCTGCATCAGATTGAAGTGCTCGAGTCAAACTCTTTGCACGGGATCATCGAATGACTGTCTGCAAAGGAGACTCAAGGATCTCAGCCATGGGGTTGGAGTCAAGGTTGAACTCAGAATCTTGACGGAGCCTGAAGTCTTGGAGTCGTAGCTTTGCGCAAGAAGTCTTCTTACATGGAGCCGCAAAACAATGGAAAGCGCTTCTCTTCATGGTCAACAATCTCGAGTTCTCTTCCGCGGCATAGCAAAATTCTGTTGATCGCGCAGCAGATCGTTTCTAGGCCCCTATTGAACGCCCCCTGAAGCCTAAATCCAGCTACCACATGGACCTAAGCGATATGACAGGCACCGCAGCGCAGCAACTGTACTGAATCTGCGTCGTTGCCAATGTATAGGATGGAGTATGCACTTCAGGAGAGCACCGAGTTCGCAGGGAGGTCCTGCCTCAACCATGTCGCATTCGTCCTCGACCTTTTTACGTTGTCGACTGAATGTTCGACCTTGCGTTCTTGTCCATGATGAGTGCCTCGACCGCACTCGAATACGCCACTTGGAATGCTGCAGGGACCGACGAAGTGATTTGGCGTGAAGAATGAGCATGCTGATATGAAACCATTCCAACAATCGACACTGTTGCAGTCTCTCGCCAGCACGCTCGCAACAGCGGTGCCCAAGCGCGACGCATCGGCTGCGCATTCGACATCCACCTCGAAGCAGCACGGCAGATATATCTCACGAACGTGCAGAGTTCAGCGACCCATTCGGTCTTCTGATCATCTGTACAGTACATCAGGGGAGCGACCATTGCAGGTGTGGCAGCCCAGCTATCAACCGTAGCTAACACATGCTTGGGATGATACTTCGGTCGTGCCGTGCTTCCAAACCATCTCGTCCTGCGAGTCCGTCAATCTCCTGGCGGGCCATGGAATGACAAGCACAGATGTTGGGGATCTTTGTATGCAATGTGGCTTGAAGTTTGGATTCTCCGTTCACCGAGACGGAACTATCTCGACCCAGGCCAAAGCCATCTACGTTGTGAGAGAGCAGATGTCATGGTCAATCTCATTCATCAGCCAGGATCAGGATGTTGAACGCCCAGCGCATCTGGTGTCCGGCGAACGATGACTCCAATCATGCCTGGTGTGTGACATCAGAAATCGGAATCACCCACAAGGTCCCATCCACTCCTGCTGAGATACCTGTACGATTTCGGAGCTGACCTCGCGAATATTCAACCTCCTCCATGCCGAGTCATTACTTTGCTATTCCAAATCTCCATGAGAACCACCAAGTCTCGTCCGTTGGGGAGCCTGTCGAGGCAAAGTCATTCGATGCACGCCATTCCCAGGAGCGGTTTTCGGCGGATATCAAGAAGTCCACCAGATCTCTGCGCAAGCCGCTGCTTTGATCTCAACATGGCAGTTCTGGGATCCGCGAGCTGCAATGGGGAGACTTTGGGACATGCTCTGTTCGATCCATTGGTGTTCAACCCTTCTCCTCAATCCGCTCAATCATCTTCTCGATCGTTCCACAGCCGCTCACCATACTCGAGCATTTCAATGGCACATACCTCCTGCCTGCGCAACAAGCAGCAAGTGGACGATAGGCATGATATGCTGACGTGAATGGCTTTGCCCTTGAGCTTGTGACTATACTCCTGCACTTCACCAAAAGATCCCTCTGCTCTGACACATCATCGCCGACCTTTTTCACGACTCTCTTCGCATCAGGCCATTTGAATCCCAGAACTTTGATTGTTATAGTGGAGCCTGCGTGTACGAACACAATCCTTTTCCGCTGACAGAGCTTTTCGACGGGAAAGCGTCGACGCTGCATGCTGAACGTCTGATCATGATTTGAGGCTGCGAAGGGTGGAGGACGGAGACTGTGTGCCGCATCGAATCCCAGCCATCATCTTCTACAACGATCTTCACAGCGTCAGTACTTATGTCTTCCCCGTACGTTACTCTTGCACATCACTTCGATCAGCGGGCATCGAATTAAAAGCAGATTGCTGTCTCCAGAGGCGAAGATGTGGCCATGCACTGTACACCGCCACCCAGACCTTGGATGTTCAGGTGATCACACGCCGAGCAAAGCGTTGATGTATGGAGGTATGTCGATGGGGATTTTCAGGGGTGACGCATCCATTGCAGCGGCAAAAGCACAAGAGTTGATCAATCGCAGGGTATTTGAACATATCTCCCACAAGTCCAACTCCGTCAACATCCATTTCCTTACTTTCTCAATAAACAGCCGCGACCAACAAAGGATATATACGAGCTTGATGGTACGGCATGCCTCGCAATGCTGTTGCTACGGCTTCTGAAATGCACGATCGATCGTTGAGCGTAGATGGCCTGGAGGCAATCGGACTTTCGACATCTCTTGAGTTCATGAACCATTATGTGCCCAATACTTGTTGACTTTGAGTCCTTCGAGATACAGGCTGAAATCTTCCATCCTACCTTCTGCTATAGTCGGTCGACATCCCGTTGAAGGAGGGAAGCAGATATTCAAGAATTTGCCTCGGTTTGAGATCGATTGCTCGACCTTCGTAGATACGCCATACGCTGGTTCAACAGGCAACTCTGTCTACTGGTTTATCTGGAAAAGTTGTTTCTTCACATCGAGCTTCGTCATTTCGTCCAGAGATCTTTGCAGACTTCATCAGCCCTGAGCCGATCTTGTCCGTCTTCAGCAATCTTCTCGCACGCGATTCTTGAAAGATTGAGCGGATCTCAACGTCAAGTTCTCCTACTCCCTTATTGATCGTCAACCTCGCTCGTTTGTCCTGTTTTGTGCTCTTTCTGCCCTTCTGCCGACTTGGAGCATCTCGTGTATGAAGTAGTAACGATCCTGTGGCATCATGGAGCGATACCAAGGGTGATGAGCTTCGAATGCCGCAAAGTCGCTATTTCCAAGCAAGATGAAGAAGTAAAAGACTGCTCACGGTCAAACTCCTAGCCTTGAAACGATGAATACACTTAGAAACCCTGAGGATGGTAGAGCATTCATGTGTCTACATCTTTACCGTAGTCACTGGCTAAAGTTAAGAGACGCTGGATAATCGAG